GAAATAAGAATTTTGCTAAATTTAGTAATAAGTTTGTTTCAACTTTAATATAACTAAGAACCAAATACAATTACTTCAACAATTATTTAATTAAAATATTAAATTTTAAAATTTTAAATAAAAATTATTTATACAGAAATATATTACAAACATTAAAATATTTAATTATAAAATGTTAATTCTATAAAAAAAAAAAAGAAGTATTAAAAAAAGAATTCAAAAACAAAAAACAATTTGATTATAACTATCTATTATTTAATAAAAATAATATAATTTTATTAAAAAAATTCTTAAATAAAACAAATATTGTATAAAAAAGTAATAAAAATTAAAAAAATAATTTATTTATAAAATAAAAAAACCTAGAAATTTAAAATAAGATTATAAAGTTCCAAAAATAAATAATAAGTCTTAAATATTATATTAAAATAAATAGATAAGAATAATAAACTTATAATATTATTCTTTTTATAAAAAAAAGAAAGATACAAAAAATAAAAAGAAAATCTTAAAATAAAAACAAAAATAAAAAATAAAAAATAATAATAAAAAGTACTTTTTATATTTTATTCTATTTTTTAGTTTACTATCTATTTTATGTTTACGTGTAAAAATCAAAATGAGGTGCGAAAGTTATGTATTAGGACAGTTTTTTCAAACCGCCATAACCGAAAGGTTGCACGCGTGTATGATAAATAAATAAATAATAGAAAGATAATTTATTTATAAAATAAAAAAACCTAGAAATTTAAAATAAAATTATAAAATTCTGGAAATAAGTAATAAGTTTTGGATATTATATTAAAGTAAATAAATAAAAACAACAGACTTATGACATTATTCTTTTTATAAAAAGAAGAAAGATACAAAAAATAAGAAGAAAATTTCAAAATAAAAACAAAAACAAAAAATAAAAAACAATAACAAAAAGTACTTTTTATATTTCATTCTATTTTTCAGTTTACTGTCTATTTTATGTTTACGTGTAAAAATCAAAATGAGGTGCGAAAGTCATGTATTAGGACAGTTTCTTCAAACCGCCATAACCGAAAGGTTGCACGCGTGTATGATAAATAAATAAATAAATAAATATACTAATTTATTTTTAATTGTTTCTTTAAATATTGTAAGTAATTGATTTCAAATTCTTATGTTTAATAACATATTAGTTAATAAAGCTTATTCTGTTACTAATTAAATCCAGATTTTTTCTAAATTTAATATTATTTGTCTAATTGTTGAATAAACTTTTTTTAATTTAATTAATAGTAATTTTATAATTTAAAATAATAAGGTTAATATTAAGATTCTTATTTTTATTATTATTTTAAATAATTTTACTTTTTTTATTAATAAGTTTTAAAATATAAATATTACTACTAATAATATTGTATTAATTTTGTTTAATATTATAAGTAATCTTATTATTAAATTTAGTAATAAATTATTTACTAATATAATTTAAAAAATCTTCTTTTTATTTTAAGAAATAATAATCCAATTTATTAATATAATACAAAAATTTAATATATTATAAGCTTATATTATAGCATTAAAAATCATAATAACTAATATCATATTTTACAATTATAAATCAAATGAAGAAAATAAAAAAAAAAAATAAAAAAATAATAATAAAAAAAATAATAAAAAAAATAAAAAAAGAAGTAGAAAATAAAATAAAAAAAGAAATAAAATAAAAAAAAATAATAGAGAAAAAAATAATAAAGAAAAAAATAAAAAAAAACAAAATATGCTAAATATATTATTATAATTATAGAAGACGAATTTATTTGAAATAATATTATTATTGTTTTAAATAATATTTTCTTATATCTAATTTTTTTATTTTTTTAAATTATATTTTTTTGTAACATTTCAAAATTTATAATTATTATAATATAATAAAATAATATTATATTAAAATAAATATTATCAAATAATGTTATATAAAATAAAAAAATTAAATATAAGGAGGTTAAAAAATTAATAATGATTTTTTTAATAAGGTGTTTAATTCTGAATTATGTGGCAAAACTAGGTGTGCGCGCAAAGTGGGTAGAACACGTTAAATATATAACTAATAATAATATAAATTAATATCAAATAATTTAAATTAATTCTACATAATAAAATACACTACTTCATACCTTAAGTATTCACAAAAAAATTAGAGTCGTAGACCATAGCTTGACAAATAATAAAATTAGTTCACTATGAATCTATATCCTTACCTGTAACTTCTAACAATAACTTCTAACAAATTTAAATTAATTTTACATAATAAGATACATTGTTACACACCTCGAATACATACAAGAGTCGTAGACCGCAGCTTGGAATGGATTTTTTTGGTCATCATTTTATCTAAATACTCCCGAATCATGATTGCTAACATAATCTTATATATATAACCTACCCACTCGAAGGTTTTACCGGTATATTATATTGGATTGCGACTTTAGTCGTACTTGCTTACCTATTGTACCACCCAGGTTCGCTCATTAACCAGGTGGTCGGCTTTGATTTTGAACCTTCATGTTTTATGACTCCGCTTGTGCACATTTTTATGCAGGTGTTCAGGAGCCGCATGCCAAGACTCCACTCTGTTGACTTCGGGTGACAGGGTCAACTGCTTCGATCATACCCTCCCCAACATTCTGTTCTTGGCGAAGCCTGTATAAATACTACGTCGGTTGAAGTTATGTTTCTCTAAGTTCGACGTGGGTACATACTAAGCAAACATCGGCACACCACAAAGCTCGAATCCGTCCGATATCCAACCGGATAACCACGCCGACATCAACGACTCTTAATCATTGCGACGCCTCAAAATGAAGGATCCCTTTCCGCCATGTCCGGACACCATCGTCAAAGCAGTCACCCCAATATGTGAAATACTTGGCTTCACCACTCTCCCAAAGCATTTCCACGAAGTTGTTGGGGCTTTTCTTTTATACCATGTTACCAACGTTTATTTATCTCCCCTCATATCGCCGCTACTTTTTCCTAAGACCTATCGTTCCTTCAATAAACGAAACCGAATTAACTGGGATATCCATGTTGTATCTCTGGTTCAGAGCACCTTAATATGCATTGTCTCGCTATACGCAATGTTCGTTGATCGAGAGAGGTCTGAAATGGATGCAAAACAACGTGTGTGGGGTTATACCGGCCTACTTGGGATGACTCAAGCATTCGGAGCTGGCTATTTCCTCTGGGATCTGATGGTTAGCACACAGTATCTTAATATATTTGGACCCGGGCTTCTTGCACATGCAATCTGTGCTCTTTGTGTCTTTTCACTAGGTTTCGTATGGGATACTCTCCCTAACTAGTACCAATGCTTCAAATACTGACTGAACAATGCATAGAGACCGTTTGTCAACTACTACGCCCCGACATTCCTCCTCTACGAGCTATCCTCACCATTCCTAAATTTTCATTGGTTCATGGATAAGCTGGAAATGACAGGGTCGACTTTACAACTAGTAAACGGAATTTGCCTGCTTGTGGTTTTCTTCTCCTGTCGGCTTGTATATGGCACCTATTCCTCTTTTCGAGTAGGCTCCGATATCTACCTTGCGTGGCAAAACCCCCCGCGCGATATCGTTCAACAGGGGCGGTCGGTCCCTGCTTGGTTGGCGCTCTCTTATGTCACCAGCAATTTAATTTTGCATTTCCTTAACTTTTATTGGTTCGGAAAGATGGTCGATGCCTTGAGGAGGAGGTTTGACTCTACAAAATCAACTGTAAACTCTCCTGAGAAAAAGGGCATTGTGGTAACCGAGGATGAAGTCAGCGTTGAGGGAACGGATCTCAAAATCCCGACCAGCTCTGCACTTCATCAGAGTGTTGCGAGGCACCGAAGATAGAATGGCTAGGGCTTCAAGCAGAGGTCTTTTCATGGACGGCAAGTCAGCGGTTTATTCAGTTTTTTTTTCGCTTTTTGAACAAAAACCAAAAAAAGACAATAAAAAGAAAAATAAGAACGAAGGAGAAAATAAAAGGACACAACAAGACGGCAAAGCGGCAAAGCGGCAAAGCGATCAAAGGCGAAAATAGAAGGGAAAGAATTGAATCTCACGCCAGGTCTCGTGGTGATTTCATTAGCAAGTCCCCGCATGGGAAAGGTTTCATTCAAGGCTGATATCTGTAATAGATTATACACGTGGATTCTTGTTGGCCGCTCTTTTGTTCATGAGCCTTGATTCTTCCTCTCGGTATCTTGGGCTTTTATCTGGCGGCGGTTGCGGCGTTGAGGGCATGTTTTGATTTCCACACAAGGCGTCGTAGATCCTGGCCGTATAGACCTGGGACTGGATGGTATGTGTCCTTGTATTATTGTGATTTAAAGAAGTAAATACATGTTTAAGTGTAGTCTAAATATATGTTTGGATAGTGTAGTGATTGGTCCGTGCTAACTATTCTACGATTTTTTAAGCAATCGCTGTGTCAATACAGAGTTTATATCGTAGTCTCATTCCCTGCTACATCACTCAACTGACATGCCGAATAGTATTTTCTTACAGTAGTCAAGCTGTTCACTAAAGCAATACCCCGTATGAAAGGGGAGATTCGATATTCAAAGTTGGTAGGCTCGTTGATTACGGTTGATGAAGGCGCGAGTACTTGATTTGAAACAATTTGGAATAACGTTTGTGAGTATAATGATACAAAAGTTGCTAACTAAGTACCTACTTAGTAGCTTATAAAGGGTCATACCGACCCGTGAATGATACAAAGTTTGATATATGTCCTCGAATTCTCTCGAGCTTATAGCTATAAATGTCCCAACGACTTAAAGCTTGGCTTGGGAGGGCCGGTCTAGGCGCCCTCTGATATATCTTCACCTCCTTCTCCCCCCCAGGGCGATCGGAGTATTAGTATCAAAAGAATTGCGAGCAGTCTATACTGATAGTTACATAATTAAGTACCTACCTACTTAGGTCAGTAGCCGATAGATTTATATTGAAATTACCTGGCGAAATTGACAGGACTCGATAAAAATTGCCTGAGTCTTTGGGTACGGGAATGTGTTGCTTGTGGTTGTTGATACCCTGTGATTGGCCCGAGTGGTCGGTTGTCTTGAGAGATGTGTTGATGGGACTAAGACTGCATCATCATCGCAACACAAGCAAATAGAATACAATTTGTTACTCTCCTTTTCTGTCCACTTCATCTTGCATCGCGAGAAAATTTTCTTACTCCCTTCTTCCCGTATATAGGAGAGCCTTTTTGATTTGAATTTTGACTGCGGAAATGCTTTTTATTACAACCTGAAGCGTTTCGAAATTTCAACTACTACCACTGGGGTACATCGCGTGTCATCCTTTCATCAATATTTTCCCTTGTCGGAAAACACGGCCACAAAACGGTCATCGGTGGTTCGAGGGCCTCTTTTGACAATCCATTACTCCATTACCGGCTTTAAGCCCCAAGGCTTTCTACCTGGACACGATTGTTCGAAAAAAAAAACTCTTCTCATAATTTACGACCAAAAAAAGGCCTGTATTGAGACAATGCGGCTGGCGAAAGTCAACATACTCCGGAGTGGCGCCTCTACAAACAGCAGTGGTCAGAAGCACCCAACATCCCTAAATTTTTCAACGGATAGAAACGTGGTTGGTGTCTTCTGGTATATCAAAGAGGAACTGGATGATAACGAGGTACGTGTTGCCCTTTCGCCTCTGTGGAGCGGTTTAATGGCGCGAACTGACCTGAAGCATTAGGCACGGAAAATCGCACGATCTAAGCAAGCGAACGGCCATCGAGGTAATATTTTCCATGGCTCAGCCGAAAGTGTTTGGCAAAAGGTAGCGGTGAAGTTTCCTTCTTGTTAGCGTGAGACTTTCTTTTATTGATTTTATTTTTTCCGTTCTCCAGGGTGATAGCCGTAGGAGCCACAACTATACGACAAAGCGAGAGAACGTGAAGGCCGAGACATGGCCTGAGACCTTCGCTGGTCGGTCCTACGGGTTACTTTCAGACGAAGAAGAAGACGAAGAAGGAGTTAATGATGGCCCCGATCCGATGGATCACCAACCGTCGTCACAGCAGAGTTATCTCTCATCAACTACACAACAGGACCCACTTTCGCCGCCTCTCTCCCCTTCGCCAAATCGTGAAAGTCTTAATGCTACCCCAAGGAAGCGGGAAGACCGCACGCCTCCAATGCCGGGCTCATTTGTTTTTGAAGAAGACGCACCTGCATCACCATCGTTTTCCTCGAGTCTGACGGAATCAACCCAAAATGTTACGGATTTTTTATACTCGACACCTGCTAGGCCATCCTACATAAATCCGGGCCTTGCACTAGAAAGCCGTTATGATAGCTCTTCCTCATTACCTCAGCATTCCAGGTTTGACATGACGCCCCGACAACTTGCAGCATTCTCGCGCAGGAAGCAAGAATTCGAGCGCTTGATGGAACGTCCATCGACACCGTCCGTAATGAGCGATACTGGCGTGCACGAATGGGAAATTTCTGACAAAGATCGGGCCGAGCGTGAGAGACGAAGGAAAGATCTTCAGAGGTTTCGATTAGAGAGGCAAAAGCGACAGCGTCTTGAGAATAGATCTGAGAGCCAGGGGGGCAAGGAGCCTAGTAGAAAAAGGCCCCGCAGGTCCTTCGAATTGATCGACTCTGGGCCACTAGTTGAACAGGTGCCTTCGAAACGAAGTCGATCGTCGGAATTATTCGCCCGTGCGCTAGACCGAGAAACACGGGCGACTTTTAAATCCCCCGAGAATGAGCGACCGGTGCATGATAGTTCTTTGCTTCTTCCCGCCACAGATGAGATTTCTCACAGCCTGCGGGAGAGTGAAGCCCCAGCCAGTGCATACTCTGCACCAACGCCGTCCCCGTCGCCTCCATTACTGTCAGAACCAACCGTTTCTAAGCATGCTCAGCTCCACATGCCGAAAAAACCCTCTGGGCTTCGGAGGGCTGTCAACATCTCTAGTTCCCCTAGCACCTCACCTATGAGGGGGAACCAGAACCCCGGGAAGCTCCATTCTCGGTTCGTATCCGAAGACGCTGCCAATATTTGTCGGTTGGCAGTCAATACCGTAAGTTCTTTTTATGATCGCCGCGTAATCCTTTCGTATTTAGTACTAATCCAGACTTTAGTTTGAACGGTCCTCTCTTTTAACCTACGATTTCCCCCCCCTCAATCCGTCCCTGGCTAGTCAAGCTAGGCCGGAGATTGTTCGAGAATTGAATAATTACCTTGAATCGCTCGTGCCAAAGGTTTCACCTGTCTAATGCCCTGACTTCAACTCACGTACTTCGATAGAACGATCAATGACTTACTAAATCTGGCTCTGTCTGCTTGTGTAAACACTTACCTTCCACCCATCGACATAACATGTTTTCTATTTGGAGCCTTCCCTTTCAATAAAAGATTCTGCTTTGCCGAATAAGCATTTTGTGATTTGTTAGCGTTTTCCTTTGCTCTTTTGCTCTTTGACTATCATTATTACATTGTCGAATAGTAATCAAATTCCCAACCCACGAGTAGCTCAATGTTTCAATCTGTTAGATGATATTCCTTGAAAGGAAATGGAATATGCATATACGCTACACAATCATAAGGGATTGGGGAATATCGGCAGGCTGTGTTCAGGTGTCACATGCTCAGGTCGTAAGGTTGCCTCACATAATTCCGCCAAGACATACATCTGCAGTTCGCAAAAAAGCCTTCTCCATGGCGTGGGGCACCACTCCCATCGCAAATCACATTAAAGAAATGACACAACCGAGTTGTGTCGTCGATATCTTACCATTCGCCGGGGTTTATTCTGGGCGCGATCATCTGCTATTTAGGCCTGAAAGTACTGTCCATTTTTGTCAAAGATGACCTGAAGTCCCTGATGCAATTTCAACTTTCTGGTGGATTCCATCCCGTTCCGAAATTATCATCTGAAGGGCTTCTTCTACCTGTTGGGTGGCCGGTTTGCCATGTCATCTCATCCATCCGCAGAATCGAAAGGACCAATACTATCGCCCCCATCGCCACAAATGCACGCTTCCCCGGAGGTCCCGCAACTTAGAAAGACATCCCCTCCACCCCCGAAAGATATTGCTGCTTCATCAGCCTCTGAACCGTTTTCGGACACAGAATCTCGCGCAAGAGCAAGGTTTCGATCTAAGTCTCCAAGTCTTACGAGAAGCAATGACTGCCAGGCGCCTGCTACTACGACAGCCCCAAAATCTAATGGATTTCTCTCCCCCCCATCAGCTAGTTGGAGGAGCTTCTCAAGAAGCCCCAGCCCCCTAGGTCTAATACCAATCCATCAAACCTTTCGACAGCTGGTAAGTTGGAACCTGCAATACTGCCAGGATACTCATCAAAATTTGGGCATTTAAACTATAGAATTTAGATAAATACTAATATAAGTGTAAGGTTCATCGACACGAGGTCCCTCGTAAGGTCTTGCATGTGTCTATTGGATTCCTTGTCCTACATCTCTACAAGACTGGAGTGCAACCCGCAACTCTAACACCAGGTCTCGGCTATGCATTAATACCTATCGTTTCAGCTGATTTGCTGAGATTCGTTTCGCCTTCCTTCAACTGGCTTTACATTAGAGTGCTGGGTGCATTGATGCGAGAATCGGAATTCTCTGGTTGGAATGGTGTAATTTGGTATATGATCGGCACTTGGACCGTCCTCGCCGTATTTCCCAAAGATATTGCGACACTTTCTATTCTCCTTTTATCATGGTGTGATACTGCTGCAAGTACATTCGGTAGGTTATTCGGGCGATACACTCCTCAGATAAGAAAGGGCAAAAGTTTTGCCGGGTCGCTTGCGGCTTTCATGGTTGGAAGCGCTGCTACTGCGTATTTTTATGGGAGGTTGGTTCCAGACACACCGCTTTGGCCAAACGATCCTACACCCGCTCTTAGCTACCTTGGCGGGCTTCATTTACCAGTAGTCGGAGAAGTCGGGGGGTCGATAGCGCTAGGGATTGTAAGCGTGGTTACAGGCTTGATTGGATCTGTTAGTGAGTTGACTGATGTATGGGGTTTGGACGATAATGTCGTGATACCTGTTCTCAGCGCGGCTGGGATTTGGGGTTTCTTTCGGGCCTTTGCAGCATAGACATATTTGCTTTCTAGGGTATTAGATATTGATAGCTCACTTTTCGCCCTAGGAATTGCTAGTTCTCTACACATAAATAGGCGCTTGTTATAATTTTCTTCTTTCTCTTTGTGTTTGCGTTCCTATATACCTACTAAGTATTTATATTTTAATTCTCATGTGTTTCAATAAGCGTATTCGCCCGGCTTAGAAAAGCACCCGCGGGGTCTGTTAGCACGCAAAATATTCTGGCGGCCCGTCTAACTCTTATATAGCTTATTATCTGATATCTTTGGGGCTTATCCCAATTAAACCTTCACGGGGTGCTATTTGTTGACTAGAAAGCTACGTCGAGTAGATCCCTTGGGTGGCGAGCGGGTTTGCATGAAGCGTAACTTTCAGGATATGAATTTTCTCTACTGGCCGGTTCTTTCTGTCAACTAAAAGCTTCTCAAATTTTTCCAAGGTGCCGCCCTCTTCAGCGCCGTCAATAACTTTTCCGAAGACGGTATTCTTGCCGTCTAAGTGGGCATGTTTAGCGTATGTGATAAAAAATTGACTACCATTTGTATTGGGCTGTCCGGAGTTAGCCATTGAAACCATGCCGCGAACGTTGTGCCTCAAAGACGGCCTGATTTCATCCTCAAAGGGGGCTCCGTATATTGGTGTTCCAAGGGATTTCCCAGGATTGGTGGGAGAAGGGTCTCCAGTTTGAAGGATGAAACTAGGGATTGATCGATGAAAGACACAGCCGTCATAATAACCAGAAGCGCAAAGTGCGAGGAAATTCTATCAAGCATACGTGATTAGTGGGTTCCTAAGAGTAGGGAGTAAACGATATCGATTCGGAAGTACCTCTGCGGTTTTAGGAACCGCTTCGCAAAATACTTCGATCTTCAGATCGCCTAGCTCAGTGTGAAGCTGTTGTAAACGAGCAAGGAGTCAGCGAAGATTCCGGTCAATTAAGGATGGATAAGTGACATACCGTGACGGACATTATGACAGTATCATGGATACATGGAGGCTCTGGGGTTATATTGTTTAGTGATATTGGTACATTCCGGTATTTTACCGAAGTGCTTCTTAGCAATGTGAACTGCCAACTGTGTGTTTGCCAAGTTTTATGAACCCACAACTGTGTTTACATCACCCAGCTTCCATACCGAGCCGCATGGGCCACTTTAAGCGGATCTGGAAAGCACTATGTATGTCACCAAAGTACTCGAGAACTTAAGCACTAATTACTAATATACACGCTAAAAACATCAACTGTGGCTAATTAGGACAACCGTGCCAATACTAGAATACACTTATATAGTTGCCAATTCTGTCCTTTTGGTTTTGGGCTATGCACTCGGCGATCCATGTAATATTCCGTATCTCCTATATAGGAAACAGAGCTCCGATGTTAGGAAGAGAAATAAATAAAACATTACATGAGGGGAGGCGAGTCACTGACCTGTTCTTGTAATTTGAGCCATGCATAGACCACAGCGAAAGTGAAATGATGAGTGAAAGTACCCTTCGCTAATTCCATTTCTTTCTGGTAAAAAATGTCCTCAAGGCTCTTTTGTGTACCCCCCCCAATTCCACCACCACCTTGCCCAATTCCACCCTGGTCAAAGAAATATCTGTATTCGCCGACTATCTCTATCGCCAATCGTACGGCTTCCGGGTCATCTGCTCGGCTTAACATTAAGGTTCCCTCTGGATGAAGCTTCCCAATCTCGGGATATAGCTTCTTACGGTCGGATTTAGACAGTTCCGTCCCGAAAGAGTTTAATGTAATGTTGATGGCTCTTCTATCAGCCTCGAAGCCAAGAATATCTGACATCAGTTCTGCACTGGGGGTCCCGGAAAGCGCTGGGTCTGTCGTGCAGAAATCATGAAAAGCCTCCAAATAACTTTTATAGAGGGTATTCCGGACTATTTCAATGTTGAGCTCGTCAAGGTCTGCAGACCGAAGGTTGTCTTTGAAAAAGGGCGCTAGCGGAGTTTCGACCAAAACAATACTATACAGCTCTTCGATATTCGAGGCGACACAAAGCGCAGGGAGTCCTTCGAAGAAGCCAAGTGGATGACATCGCTCTAGAAGATCCTTCGTATCCCGTTCATGTAGAGTTCCTGTAATAAGCAACGCAACATTGTCGATCATGTAGGAATAAGTGAGGAAGTCCATAAATTTGGCAAGTGCTCCAGTTGCTTGGGCTCGTAGATACCGAAAGTCTTGGACGAGCTTTTCCGTAGCTTTGGCAGCGATGGTTGATGTCGGGAATGGGGATGCAACATTGGCAAGCTGTTCTCCATAGGAAGGTGTGAGTTGTAATTTGAGATCTATTATTTGTTGCTAGTGTTAGTAAGGGAAAGGTGCTCGAGAGTGAAGTCGGTGAAGATACCCTCCAGGGTCTCGCATTGAGTAAGATTTGAGTAGTTTGAACTTGTTAAGAGGCTGTTGCGGTACCCTCGAACGATACCCTCCACATAGCCTGAATGTATGTTGAAGAACAGGCCCTCCATTATTTGAGTGTTTAGCGCACTGGTAGGGTGAAATCGGCGGTTGATATTGATGTTGATAGAACTGAGCTGGTCTGGAGCGGATATTGCTAGAGGTGTTTCTCCATGATGCGTGACTTCTTCCGACCACCTCCGCGTCATCTAAACAACGCATCCCATCACGCGTTCTTCACCTACAACACATGATTTGACCTTGTCGAGCTATATTTAGATTAGATTAGATTAGATTAGATTAGATACACGATAAGGGCTATCCTGCTGCCCTAACCTCGTGGGCACTAGCCACACACCAGGCCATATACGCCCTGTACCTGATCTTGAAAAACAACGGCATCGTTGAATGAAATATTATACTTTCAAACTGATAGTGTAAGCCGTGAAATCAATAGAGTGGTATCCTTACAGCAGCAATATAGATTCTGGTCAAAAATATAACGTCAAAAAACTATTGGGACCACGGCCTCCAGAATATAAATATATCGTGGGGATTCGGCGTTCAGGTTGACCATGGTAGTGTGGCGTCAACGTACCTAGCCACTTTGCTCCCGCCGCCAAAAAACACCTTCACAACACACAAACCTCACAAAATTTTACCCCAAAACTAAAACATCAATCTTTCACTGCCAACTTCGTTCTACCCTCTCAACCATATCCGACACCCAGCACGGCAGTAAATCTAGCTCGACCTTCACCATGGCTACCGCCAAAAATCTCCCAGCAATTTTCAATGCCACATCCCAGGATATCGAGATGCTCCTGGCGGCTCAAAGCCATCTTGGATCAAAGAATCTTCAGGTACGAATGGTCTCACGAAGTGAATGGGGCTTCTAGATGGAGATGGCGAGAACTGGAATAAGGCTAATTTTCTCATTTCATGCTGTAGGTCCACATGGAACCCTACTTGTGGAAAACAAGACCTGATGGTATCAACATCATAAACATCGGAAAGACCTGGTAAGGCCATGAATTTTTGTTGCATATCCTAGACTTCTTCCGATCTAACTAAAGCGTCGTTTCAAAAACTCAGGGAAAAGATCGTTCTTGCTGCTAGGGTTATTGCTGCTATTGATAATCCGGCTGACGTTTGTGCCATCTCTGCTCGTCCATATGGCCAAAGAGCCGTTCTCAAGTTCGCTGCACACACTGGAGCTACTGCGATTGCAGGAAGGTTCACTCCTGGAAACTTCACCAACTATATTACTCGATCATTCAAGGAGCCCCGCCTCATCATTGTCACCGATCCAAGAACTGACGCCCAAGCCATCAAGGAAGCTTCATATGTTAATATTCCTGTTATTGCGCTCTGCGATACCGATTCGCCCACCGAGTTTGTCGATGTCGCCATCCCAACCAACAACAAGGGCAGACACGCGATTGGGTTGATCTGGTGGCTGTTGGCGAGAGAGGTCTTGCGACTACGTGGGACTCTGGCTAGCAGAGATGTTGACTGGGATGTCATGGTTGATCTGTATTTTTACCGTGACCCAGAAGCCGAGGACCAAAAAGACCAGGGCGCCGAAGAATCGAAAGCCGCTGGTGCCGAGGAAGCCCCTGCCGCCACTGAATTCGCCGCTGCGGGTGGTGATTGGGACGCTACTGGCCCTGTTGGATCCTTCCCCACCACCACCCAAGGGGTCACCGCTGGAACAAGCTGGGATGCGGAGGCAGACTGGCAGAATACCCAACCAACTGCTGACTGGGCTGACAGCGGGAACGCACAACCAGCCGGAGGCGAAACCCAGAGCGGATGGTAATTGCCTTTATTTTTCATTTTTTTTGATATCCACTTTTTTTTTTGAACGGCTTTGCTCTGCCTTTTCCTCCCACCGCCTCTGTCATGACATGGCCATCATCACCATCGCCCTTCCACCACTACCACCCCCTCTCCTCCTCTCCGATTCATGGATAAACCTCCCCTGTCTCATAATGTCTACACGCCGTTTTTCTTGTACGTATGATTTTCGAGGGCTTTCAGAGGGTTCGTTATGGTTTCCTACTTTATTTTAACTTTTACGTGTTCTTCCTTCTTGTTCGCTGGTATGATAACTGCTTCCTTCGTCTCTTTCATCATCATCTACCAACCCCCACCCTCCTACCTGTATCGATACTAGAATCTTGAGCTGGAGGGGTGGCTTCCTTGGCATGCGGCCGTATTCACCTGTGCGACCTATAATCGTACAAACGATACTATATCACCCTCGAATATTCTGTAGCCCTATTCTATTCGGTGATTTTCTGGAGTGTAAATTATTAAATATTCTCCGCCGTGAAGGCGTCTCCAACTGGCTCTCAGGGCGGCATCCAAGTATACTTGGTACATAATAGAGACTAAAAGTAAGTACCCATGTAGGCATTTCCCTAGGTACCTTGGTAAGTACCTACTTAGGACTCGAGATTCTTAAGGGACGAAAGTTTGACTAGGAATGAATGGCTGACAACAAATGCAACGCAAACAAATAATGAAGAAGAAAAAAAGAAAAGAAGAGAAAAGGAACAAGCACTGAAGAACGCTGCTGTAATATAACATAGCTGTCACCGTCACCGTCACCCTCTTCAACTTCCTCATCCTTTCTTTTCTCTCTTGCCACAAAATACTTCTCGAAATAAACTATTTGGCTATTTACTTGACCAAGCATTCAAGGCGGCTGAGCAGACATTTCTCTCCCGCCCCACAAACTCAAACTGGACACTTCGGCACCCGCCAGGATCGAATGTCAGCTTGCATTGTTCCCACAGCCTTCCCATCCTCCACAAAATCGATAACCCCGTTATCTTCTCCCAGATATTCCTTGGAAGCAACCAAATTGTCAATTGTTAATGCTCGCCCGGCTCATTTCCCCCAAACATGCCGAGGGAGGACGTGACTATCGATCACTATGCGGCTCTCGAAGTCTCGACTACTGCTACTTCTGATGAAATCAAGAAACAATTTCGGAAACTTGGTATAGTCCACAGTCTCCATCCGTACCACGATACTAACAACCCCGTGTAGCTCTGAAATATCACCCCGATCGGAACCCCGGCCGTGAGACCGAATTTAACGCGAAGTTTCAGCAGATCCAAGCAGCCCACGAGCTTTTAACAGATCCCGGGAGAAGAAAGCTGTATGATCGGTCACGATTGCACTATAACAGCAACAACAAACCCAGGCCAGACCGATATGATGTATCTACCCCCTCAAGTGAATCTCCCGCCTCCTCTAGGAAATACCCCAGTGCCACACATAGATCTGCATATGCTACGAGCGCTCGGCCCAGTGAAGCACATTTCTCTGCTAAATCACAGTGGGACTACGCCTCCCGTACATACACGCCAGGTGGAGCCTCTGCGTGGAAGGCAGCACAGGAGCGGTGGCAGCAACGCAGCTCCCGTGAGATGCCCCGCACCCCCAAAAAAACCAGGGAAAATCCGTATGTTAGTGTGGATCCTGAGCCACCTTCCGCAGGTGAATCTGCCTACAGGTTTTATAAAGACGATGGAGCGGGGCTTTCTGGCGGGAAAACCCCAATCAGACATGGCTTCTTTGGCGATCGAAATCCGCGTGAAAAGGAGTGGATGGACCCAAATTCGGAACACAAGCCTGGAGGCAACTATAATCGACGAAGCGGTGGCATATGGGAAACAAAATCATCGTCGGAAGAAGATGCGCCCCGCCAATCCACATTCTATGCATTTACTCCACGAACCCACTTAAGAACGAATCTTCGGGACACCAGCCCGGATAGAACAGGTTCACATGGGAACAGCCATCAAAACGGGGGCTATTCGGCGAAACCAAAAACAGCAAGCCCGTCCGATCCGTCAGTATCGCCACAACGTTCGGGAGTTTTCACACGGCCTCAAACAACGCGAGATTCAAAAGAGCACGGCGATCAGACAACATCTAATCAAGACCGACGGAAGAGTAACTCTTCAGTAGGCTTAGAAGGCACCGAGAGAAGGAAGTTTTCTTATCTTTTTAACGAAGATGGGCTACGGAAACCCCATCGCACAACAAAGCAAACAGCAGGTAGCGATAATGACGAAGAGGATTCTTTCTCAAAACCTCGCAATACTCCATTACGACAATCATACCCATCCTCTCGACGTAACACCTTAGATCGAGAGACCCCTGCTTCGAAAGGGTTGGGAGAGTCTCGAAATAATTATGGGCCTAAAAACCCGGACCGCCAACGCTTCAACGGGCATTCATATGGGAAGTCTGAGGGTAAATAACCCCGTCAACTTCAATCTCAAATCTCAAACTGACGTCGCCGATAGATTCTTACACCCCGCTAAATTCTTTCAAATCGTATTACCCCACAAATCTCTCCTAACTCAATTATTTAGCTAACGATCCCTTTACTCCAGGTTCGAAACAAATGCGTCTTCTCCGATCAGCTTCCCTGGCAGCCCTTCCAAGGAAGAACCTAGGCCCAAATCATTTTCCCCTGCAGACTGGAACACCGTCTTCAGTGGTAATGAGAATATCTTTGCCCCCCCGCCTCGAAAGGGGCCGCAAAGCCCGCGCAAAGGCCCAACAATACCCAATATCCAAACCAACTTCGGGACTGGCGAGGGTCTAAATTTTTCCCGACCACGCCCCACATCTACGTCGGAGGAATCATCCAATGTATCCAAAGACACAGGTGTAGGTGAATCATCGCCTCAAGGAGACTCACCAACATCCCACGAAGATGTGGTTGGCGATCGCGACCCTGATACATTCCCCAAAAACGCATTTGTTTTCGAGGAATGGCAGAAGGCGTTCTCCGAGACGAATCCTTTCGATATAAACCCATCTCACCAGAATACATCCGGTTCTACTGCCCGATCGGCCTCCAAACACCGCAAAACAGCCACTACTAAACGAAGTGCAGGATCTTTTACAACCCAGAAGGCTCCCACTACGGACAATTGTCATAATCACGCTAGTAGTTCTGCATCAATAACACCTACGGAAAGAAACTCACACCCACCGCAGAGTGAAGAACCATCGGTACAGAAGGATGCCGACTTAGATGCTAACACTAGTATCCCTTCTCCTGTTGCGATGGACATTGACACTCCGCAAAAGAGTCCTATTACTATCCCCACAGCCCCAGTTACTCCCATACGTCAAAACCCTTCGATCCTGAAAACCCCGCCAGTAGATCGCAGCCCTGTCGTCTCTGAAGCCGACCCAGTATCTCCCATCAGAACGGATGGTGTTCCGATTTCCCCATTAAGATCTGATGAGGTCCCACAACGAGAATATGACGCTACCGAGTCATCATCACAAAATATCCCTAAGGATGCCCCTCCTTTACGTTCAACCGTGGGAGAGATTCCTAAAGAACCGGTCTTTCCGAACCTGGGGGGTCTTCGTAATGTCGAGCCGTTATCATATGCTTCCGCAAATGGTTTGAATAGTCATTGGCACAACATGCGAGATAACCTACCTTTCGAATCTAAGGCGGCCTCATTTGTACGACTATCACCAGCGCCAGAGCTCTCGAAGAAGGCCTTGAACCTGCCCAAAGCTCCCGAAGCCCCTACGACACCTAATGATATTTCACTAACGTCGTACGATAAATACTGTGCTCAAATGACGGTATATCAAGCTCATTGGAACGAATATAATGGGAAAATCGTCAATCATCTGAGGGCCCGGCTCGATGCGGATATTCTCCAGTGTGCTCAAAATAAAGGGTTTGCAACTGGGACTAGCACTGATCCAGAAACTGGTATAGAGCTTGACTTGAAGCAGACTATGAAAGCTATATTCGAAATCGACGAAGATAGGAGGATCCGAGGCGAGTGGGAGACCGCTATTGTTGCACACAGAAAAGTACTAGACCAGTGGAAATCGTTCCTTGAGGGCCTCGGGGCCACTAGGTTCCCATAGTTCCCATAGTTCACCAGCTACAGAATCTTGTAGTCGACTTTGGACTACAGGCGTCCAACTTTGCACCCGATAGTGCATTCCTATCAAAACGGCGCGTGTTTCCCCCACATGCATTCCAACTACTCGTAACGTTATTTTTGTACTATCATTATGAAGATACCCTAGAGCGCCTTCCCTCTAAAAAAGCATTTATGTGCCCGCGATGGCTGTGCATTTCCTTGAATTTTTACACGCCTGTCAATTGTAGGCCCCCTATTCTATTTACTGCGAAACTTCGACAGTATCTATTTGAATCCAATTGATATTATGGGATTTCCCGAAACACCTCTTCCAGTTTTTCCAATAGCTTCGTTGTTTCGTTCTCTGTGCCAACTGTTATTCTCAGGCACCCTGTGCAGCCTAGTTCATTCCCACGGTATCGAACAACGATCCCCTTCGCCTCCGCTAGTTGTGAGTATACTACCCTAGCAGTTTGATTGTCTGGATGGCCACCAAGGGGCTTTGGCCTATCGAGCATTTCGACCAGAAGAAAGTTCGCATCAAAACCCCCCAGAAAGCGGCCGACCCGCGAAATTTTTGGCAGTTCTCGAACCAACCTTTCCCTTTGGCTTACTATCAACTCCCGGTGTGATCTCATAACCTCCAAGCCTGCTCTTGAAATAGCCTGTATTGCTAGCGCTGATGTCAAAGAAGAGACGTTGTATGGCGCTTTCAGGTTGTTCAGGAGCCCTGCTATTCTAGAAGGCGCGAACGCGAATCCCAATCTAAAATCGTGAGTACTTGCCTGGACTTAGGAAAAGGGTTGACATACCGTATACCAGCCATACCAAATGCCTTAGATAATGTTTGCATCACAACTAGATTGGGATAATCATTCACCCAATGAGCAAGACTTTTGCCATGGTCGGCAAAGTCGATGTATGCCTCATCGAGGACAATCACACCATTCCAATTGTATTCAAGAAGTTCCTTTAATCGGCCAGGGTCCACAAGTTTACCGGTTGGATTTCCCGGGGAGCATATGTAGACTAGTTTAATCCGGGGATCCCCTTCCAATTCTTCTTTTATTTTAACCGGTTGAATGTCGAAACTAGGCGACTCGCCTTCGATTTCTAGTGGTACCTTCACGACCTCGACATCATTGACTTGGGCAGCTACGGTATACATCCCGTAAGTTGGGGGGCAGACCAAAATTTTATCGATGCCTGGGACACAAAAACATCGGATCAACCCATCAATTGCTTCGTCAGATCCTACGCCGACGAAAATGTTGTCAGGCCTCAACGTAGCCGGTGAGCTCGCAACCTGTCGAAGGTCGCACAAAAGCTGTTTTAGCTCTATTTGATGCCTAGTCACCTGCAAGGTTAGAAAAAACCGACCTTGTTGGTGATGCTTTGGAAACTGGTTGGTCTTAGTATTAAATAGAAATAACCTACGGATCAGGGTATCTGTTCAAGCCTGCAAGCCTTAGAGTGCTTCCATTGACCTCGTGGTTCGCTGATAGGTCTATGGAAAGTGATGGGCCGTACGAATTCTCATTCGCATCTAAAAGCGTATTACTTCCATCATCCTTGTAATCACTATAACAATGGCCTCGCTGTTAGCTGATAGCAATTTTGTGATGTGGATTTGATAGACGAACTCCCTAGCGCATCGGTATGGCTGCAGAGCAACAATGTTCGGCCTGGCGCAGGTCTCGAGGTCAAATGCAACACCTCCCATTGTTACGTCGGGTTTTCGAAATGTATTGTTGTTTTTGAAGTTAGGGTGTTGGCAATTGACAAGTTTTATAGTCAGCCCATTCAGCGTGTTCGGCGCCTTTTTCAAGTCCGAGGACGGAGAAACAGTGGGAGTCATTCAATTTTCGATTCGCACATCGAGCAGAGCGCATGCACATGGAAATAAGAAATGGAGTCTACGGGCAACGTGAACCTCGTCCTGAAGTAGTGTACAAAATATTAAAAACGGCTGACCCAGCTAGTGATGCAATCCTATCAACGACACAAGTATCCATGAAATGTGTACACCCCCGTTCTCAAACATTATCGCACTACCTACCTAAGTAGTAGTTAGTGTGACTCTGAGCACATATAGATAAATCGCACCGTACCCTTTTCTCCTACGGTTTTCTATGGCGGGAAAGCGAAATAAAATATCGATTGATAACTAAAAGCTGAACGGAAAAAAAAAAAAAAAAAAACCCCCTCTATTCCCCAAAGAACGAAGATGATCAATCTACGCCTTGATCCATGCCTGGTGAAACCTTTTTGTCAGTCACTAGATAGAGAAATAAAAATAAAAATAAAATAAAAAATCGCTGCTCGGGAAAGTTACGTACTGTCGCTCAGAATTCCTGTATCTAAACCTGAGTGCGGTTTTCCGTGTTCATAGGTTACTCGACGCCAACCGCAAGCTTCTAAAGGGTCCTTGACAAATTCCATGGTCGGGAACTAGAAATAAAGGTGAGTCTTGGATAATAATCATGATAAGGCAAGTAAAACTAACATAATGCTCATTTTTTTTCATGGTGATCACAAAGGGTACGTTATCAAAAGTTATAACACGAAGTCGGAAATCTAATATTACTTAGGTTAGTTGATTTCTTCGTTTAAAACCCATTCTTTATCTCATCTACTCACAAGTATTATCGGGGATTTTAGAAACTTCTTTCAAGAAGGAGTCCAAGTCAGGCGTTGAAACTCCGTTCACGGCAAGGACAAAATTCGTCGGCACTAACTGGTACTGAAATGCTGGCGACCCCCGCGACTATAACGGTAAACTAGTATGTTAGGAAATCCAGAGTTATAGCTGAACCGGCGATTCTCTTACCCGTGCTGACACATACACCTCCGAGTGCATATGACTAATCTGTTGTCGTACGGCGTGATGAGGTCTGTGCAAAACTGCCCCACAGAAGACAACCACCCGATTTGTTTCAATATCAGTGGTTGTGACTGTGGGAACTTTGATGCTAAGCTCTTCACAATTACGTACGACATGAATATCAAGTTCATCATGGTCGTACATGACATCCAAGTCCGATATTCGCGTCATTATTTTTCCGTTGAGGGTTAGTATCAGATCTCCTTCTTCCAAGGTCTGCACTGGGCCGCAAGAAACCTTCCTTACGATGAACAGCTGGTGCCTCTGGGGGTTGTCCTGTTCTACTTTTCTGATCCAATCTTCTGATACTCCCATAACACGGGCTTGACTCATTTGAATTGTGTGGAGTTCGACGTCGAGGATCCGGAGATTTGGTATCTGACCCCTTTGGATCTGTCGAATAACGGGTAGTATTGTTGGTGTTGACAGGCCTAGGTGATATTCGATATCCTTGGAACCGTGTGCGCGGTCTCCGAGGTAAGTCAGCCACAATGCTTGGACGGTGCCGTCTTCATCAGCGAGCACCCCGCTTGCGCATTGAGCACTCAAGCTCGTGTCAACAGTGATTGCGTCCAGGTTGATTGCCCGATACCGGGGTGCCATCGAGTTTGCTGGGATTGCAACAGTTGTTATATCGGTGATCGTTGTCTTCGTGGTCACCACGCGAAAATTGTGATTGAACCCAAAAAACACGGTCGAGGACCCCTGGCGTACGCTCTCAGTGCTAAGTTTCGCCGATCTAACAGGAGCTTGCACGAGCGTGGGATCATACTGAACAACGGCATAGTTTTGTAGTGGGTGCAAAAATACAACTTTACCCGGCACGACCACTGATTCGGCGATTGTTAGTGTTAAATCGCAAAGGTCGTATGGAACAAATGCTCGGGAAACCACAACCAATCCTTTTTCATGGTCGACAACGACCCCAAACCCGACCTGTGATCATTAGGATTTATTCCTGTATATAGTACGGATTATAGAGCTTACTTTTCTGGGGAGGGGGTAGCCATCAATTTTCAACGGCATCTCACAAGCTATGCGAACAAAACTTCTGACAAGGTCAGAAGCTCCCGCAAACCCAGGGTTGTCAAGCGTGACGAATTGGGCAGACATTGGCTGAAGAGGTTTGGGCGGCAATGCGTCTGCAACTTCCTTGAAATCCCATAGCCCAGTGGAGTCTAAAGAGAAAGAGAGAGGAGGGGAGAGCAAGGTCAATGGATGTTCTGCGTTATCAGGTAGAGATAGAATGTACCGTTTCTGAGAGCCATTCTCATTTTAGATGTCCAATGCCGGTCGATTTGTAATATGGAAGTGTTAAGTGTATGCAAATCTCTCAGGTGCCTATAAGTTACGACGACCCTAGATCGGTCTTTTCAGTGTGTAAGCGAGGTACAGTCAGATGGATTTGGATCCAAGGTACCTGGTATGTGTTTCATAACGTTAATGAAGGTTTCGAGGTCGGGAGTTCTCTCGTTGTCCACAGACTACACTAGTTAGCTTCGAATTTTGGTGACGACAGGTGGTATACTTACTGCAATGATCCATCCTTTATCAGAACCATCGAATCTGAATGTCCCGGCGGGTTCTGAGACATAGACACCTTTCACAGGTATCGCATATAGTCTCGCGAGTTGGTATGACAGATCGTGGAATGAGGCACCACAGACAGTGAGGAATCGATCCGGTGTGATTTCATGAAGATCTCCAACGCCTAGTTCGACTTCGATGTCTCGGCCTCCTCGCTGGAGTAGTAACTTGATGTTACTCCCAACATTACTATCTAGAATGTCGTCTAATCGAACAAATTTAGTAATCAATTCGTCGTTAATTTTTATGAGAATATCTCCTTCCTAAGAGCGCATATTAGAGTTAGAAGCGGTCGATGAAATTGAAACCAAATACATATCCTACTTCAATTGATTTGAACCCTGGCCCCCCTGGCAATACCGTTTCGGCAACCAACATCCCGATTTCTTTCGGGAAATTCTGTCGGATAGCAGCCTCCCAAGGAGGGGTCAACCCAAGCCGGCGACATTCATCAAAAGGTTTGATCAACCACTGCGTTTGTATCGTGCCACGGGCGACAGCTTCGTTATTCTGGATACACTGAAGTGCCCTTAGAGGACGGTCGAGGGGCAAGAAATAGTCAGTTGCAGCTAAGTCTCCCAAGTTAGTACGCTGGATGCTGAGATAGATTCTACAAGTCACTATACCTTCAGTGCTTCCACCTGCTTGCAAAGCAACTGCAAATCCGTCCACATTTACTACGGGGGACCCAGAGCTACCTCCACTCGCCGAAGCTGCCGCTTGAATGTAGTTGGTATCTAAAAAGAGTCAGAGCCTAATACCCTAACGGAAAGTGGCAATGCGTTCATACTGAAGTCATTGTAACCATCGCCATAATCAGGTGCATTTCTGTCTGTCCTACTAATAACGCCGGAGAGGATGCTAAGCTTTTCCCCAGCATCATTCCCGACAACCCTTATCTCAACGCCAACCCCTAAAATCAAGTTATTGATATTATTAGTAACAAAAGTGGTCAATGAATTCGAGAGTTCCACTTACTAGCAAGATCAGGCCGTAGAGTTAACTCTCCGACTTCCATGTACTTAATTTTCGAGGGATCGAACTTTAGGATGCCGAAGTCGTGAACGGGATCACGATAAACGGGGTATACATCGCACTTCAAAGATTAGTAAATTAGCATCGGAGTGACTAACAAGAGCTCATATGGCTGCAATAAAAAGATACCTCCTCATGGTTGTCGAAGACACAGTAGCCCCAAAATGGGCCCGCGCAAGCAACGTGCCGGTTGGTGAGAATCAAACCCCTAGTTTTGTCAACTACAAACCCGGTTGCTTCGCTCGTAACCGCAGGATCAGCATCAAATGAACAGGTCTGGCAAAACCTTATCGAAACGACATTCCTAACGACGGACTCAATAGTTCTTTGCCATTCGACAGAGTCCCCCGTTGAAGCAATGTGAGGAACCATCCTTGGTTCTGACTGCGCTTGCTCTAGCGCTGCTAGGAGGTCCTGCTCTGCCAACATATTGATATCATCATCAGCATCCTCGTCGTTGTATTCGGTGGTGTCTTCGAATTCAATTTCGAAATGGTCGCCTTTTACATGTTTGCTTGGGCGGATAAATTGCGCTGAGCCAGAGTGCCTCCTCTTACTTCGAGATTCTGCTGTCGCCTCCATTATGTCCTTTGATATCTCCACACCTTTTCTCCCCCCTTCCGTGTGTGGCAGGACACAGGTTACCGTAATGTCCGTCGGATTGATGAGTTGGCTACTAGTATGATATCCCTCCTTTGGTTTCAAGTTTGTCTGTACTGTCTCCTGTGTAAGCCGGTGGCTCCCCGGGCTCGCGTGATTTGATGGAATTCTGTCTGCGAGATTGACATACTATCCTCACGGGGTGTGAGTGGGAAACGCCAGTTGAGAGTGACGAGAATGCTGGGTCCACGCTCTTCGAAGGTGTGGCAGCTGTAGAACAAATTGAGGCGTCTTTAGCATCTGACGAGTAGCGAACTAGGGCGTTTTCTACCCAAAATTGGATAGGTCTTGTATCCCGTGGGTGTTTGAGGGTTGTTCCTCTGCTGGGGGATAGGTTTTGTCTGAAGGGCGACAGGTGAAGACGAAGCCTGATCGCGAGGATTGCCAAACCTGCAGGAAGCTAATATCCATTCAACACAGCGCCAAGAGAATTTTGTGCAAGGGGAAAAACCACCCAGCCATGCCGAAGAGAGAAGCCTCAACAACGACATGCAGGCACTGTGCCCACCCACATACATATATATACTTAAGTACGTAGTAGGTACTTATTGGACCATCAAATCCGAAGGGCTTCTTCACACCGTACCGTCAATACCAAATTACCGTTTTTAATCTTAATTCAAAAGCAGGAATACTGAACGAAACCCCGGTTCTACAAACTTTTACACTTGAGCGAAAACAAGGAAAAGAAAGAAAGGGAAAAATCCACCCAGAGACAATAGAGTTGACAAAATGCTTTATTGCATCGGCCTCGGCCTCAGCGATGAGAAGGATATTACGCTAAAGGGACTAGATATTGTGAGACGAGCGGAAAGGGTTTACTTAGAAGCATATACAAGCATCCTTATGGTATCTCGAGAAAAATTAGTATGAATTCCGAATCTATAGAAGAACAAATTAACCCTGCTCATATGAACACATCCTCTAACCAAGCACCCTAGGAAGAATTTTACGGCCGCGAGGTAATAATTGCGGACAGAGAGCTCGTAGAATCCGATAGCGATGTGATTCTGAAAGATGCGATTTCAACAGATATTGTTTTCCTCGTCGTTGGAGATCCATTCGGTGCTACTACACATCTAGATTTATTGCTTCGGGCACGAAGCCTTCAGATTCCAGTCAAAACCATTCATAATGCTTCCATAATGAACGCTGTTGGTGCATGTGGTCTCCAATTGTACAATTTCGGTCAGACCGTTTCAATGGTTTTCTTCACTGAAACATGGAAACCGTCATCCTTCTACGACAAGATCAGAGAAAACGCTAAGATAGGGCTCCACAGTCTTATCTTGTTGGATATTAAAGTCAAGGAACAGAGCGAAGAAAATCTTGCCAGAGGAAAAAAGATCTATGAGCCGCCTCGGTACATGACAGTCTCGCAGTGCGCTAACCAAATGTTAGCCACCGAAGAGCTTCGTCAAGAAGGAGGTGGGTGTCCCCTCAATATTAACTACAGGTATCGCAAAATGCTCACCTTAAACTCTCGGAGCTAGTATACAACAAAGATTCGTTGGCTATCGGTATAGCCAGGCTGGGGTCTGATGATCAGACCTTTGCCGTCGGGACGCTGGCAGACCTCGCGACTGCAGATCTAGGCCCACCATTGCACTCACTGGTTCTTGTTGGTAAGGTTCACGACATGGAAATAGATTTCATTAGAGAATTTGCAATTGATAGTACTAAGTTCGATGCGATGTTTCCGAAGAAAGCATAACGGAATGGCTGATGCCTTCCAGGGTGCAATCTTGTCATCGTACCAACATGTTTAACAGAAACATTACAAACAAATACCGTCTTTTAAGAATCTTAAGCAATTATAACATTCATCAACATTTATTATTATTATTATCATCATCATCATTATTTTTATTTTATTTTTGGAAAATGGGGAGCTAGTCTATTAGTGATTGAATCCGAGTTTCTCCTTCTTGATACGTGGGAAAACCCCTACCATGTCACCACATATATATCAGCATGTAACGGAAAAGAAAAAAAGAGACGGGTATACACTACCTAAGGCTACCAAAATCGAGCCAAAGGCTACTTTCCAGGTTGTGAATTTCAAGGGACCTAGTGCAAAAGTTGTTCTTGAGGCTGCTACTAAAGTCGCAATAAGGAGCAACTGTATCGTATATCCTGCAATGCGGTGGTACTTGTAGATGGCCTTTGCATTCTCTGTTGATCCGAACAGGTGGGGGGTATAGAATTGAGCAAAGCCGACGATGGTTTGTCCTAAAACAATTACGTAGACAAGAAGGCCGAGTATTGCATGGACGCTATCGAGGTGGGAGTGTTTGGTTCGGACTTTATTGAGTACTATCGCCACTCCTGCACCTATAAGTAACAGTAGCGAGGCTCCAATCAGGATAGAGTGAACAATGGCGCCCTTGATTTTTTGACCGGGGGTGTGGGTGGGTTGCAGAAGCAGAACAGCTTCAAAAATGAGTAGAATTCCGACCTAATAGGCCCATATGAAATGATTACGTGCTAACGTTAGAATGTGTAAGACTGCAATGCAGCTCAACTATGATTACGCCAAGCGCAGCCCGTACCGAATTGAATAGCTAAGGTGCGTATATGTATACGGTCAGTGTGTGGTTTTGTAAACAGCGCCGGCTCTAGATTCAAGCAAGTGTGCAATTGACATCTCATATGTATAAGCGGGTACCTCCTAGTAGGTAGTAAGCTTACCGGGTGTAATGTGAATAGCCCGAGAGGAAGGGAGAAAATAGAAATCCAGACGGTTATGAGTAGAACTAGAAGACCTATTTGGGCCAAGAATCCGGTTCCTACGATAGCGAGAGATCAGGTCCCATTTATAACGGTAATAGATACTTACCTAAGTAAGTAAGTAAATTAGGTACTGACCAAGAAAGAGGTTTTTCCAGAAAGGGGCATCCTCTCGTTGCCTGACGGCACCAGCTCGCCCAAGCAGAGGCTCAGCCTCCGACAACTGATTCGAAAACACATTTTGACTAGTTGGTGGAGCGTCTGGCATATCGTATGTTCTTGTTCTTCTTTTGAAGGGAAATCAAAAGGTGTGTTCGAAAGGTCAGTTTGATCGATGAATTGCTTCCCAGGCCACCATTTTAAGTATTGTGTCTCAGGAATCAAAGCGATCAATGCAAGGTCTTATCTACATGTACCTACTTACCTAAGTACCTAGCAGATAATTAGGTAGCTGTTATCGCACATGCTTATATAAGTACATGTAATACTCATGATGTCATATATGGGTTAGAAACGTCATCGATTTAACTTTGGTAGCACCGATTAAGCTTCGGAAAGATCTAAGACATGCCCTATGAAAGGCAGCGTAATTACTGTAACTCCTCAAGTCTATCTCCGTGGTTAGCCAATCGAACCGATTTAAATTACCTCCTTAGGCCCGAGTGCAGTATTCTAGTGTTTACATACGTACACACTTATAGGTGGTGGGTGGGTAGATACATTTGACCTGCTTCTATATTAATATACCCTCACAAAATACATAGAAAAGTACATATGTATGTTTAGGTTCCCCCGAATCTCTCCGCTTCCGCATCAGACATATCCGGGGGTATTCGAAGATCCCGCTTTGCGGCTCGTGTCCAGTACATAAACGTGCGATCACTAATTCTTCTAGGATGACCGGTTCGGGAGGTATGCAGATGCCGAAGGGCTCGGTAGAATTCCCGGGCTTCGGTTTCCATCCCGCAGCACCTGAGGCATCGTATTATCCTGGTAATTCTTAAATCATTATGGCTGTTCATCCAGTTCCTTGCCGCCCTGGGGAATGTCTCTGGGTTAGGGACAATCTGTACGAGCCTCTGACTGGCTGTTGCACCTTCGGTACCAGGATCTAAGCTAACGATTTGATAATCGAATCCGAAGAATCGAAGCATTCGAGCGAGAGCCATGCGCATGGAAGTCTGCAATTCGGGGTCGTTTCGGAAAGTCTCTATGGTCTGCTCGTCCAACGTTGCCGCAGGGTGCAACATGAAATTGGACCTTTCGGGGATAGGAAACAGCATTTGGATAAAGTCATGGGTGTATTCAAGCTTGCTATCGGACCATTCGAGTATTTCTTCTAAGGTCCGGCCTTGGATGTTGTCGCCTTTGTAAAACCTAAGGACTGGTGATAGACCTGCCAAATCCTTTTTCGTTTGTAGATTGGCCTGGGATATGTCTTCTATCGTCTGATCTGTACCTTCTTCGGTAGCGCCCCGATTGCTCTGCTCGAAATCTCTGATGGCAGCAACATTTAAGTGATTGACTGGTTCATTACTGTCGCTTTGTTCACCTTTGCGGGGCTCGACAGGTTCAAGGCTAAGTTCTGTGAGATCCATGGCGTTGGTGTCGTGGAACTACCTAAGTAAGTACCTAAGTATCGAAGGAGGTGTAGCATGTAGGTGGATGCCTACCAGGTTAAGTCGTAGGTAAGCAAACACTTGTCCGAGGACTTAAATGCCTGAAGTACCTACTTAAGTACTTACTTACCTCCGATTTTGTGCTTGCTTAAGTAAGTAAGTAGTACTTTGGAAGGAAAAGAGGCCAGAGGTAGCAAGGGATAGGTACTTTAAGTACTTAAGTACCTACCTCCTAGGTGCATACTTGAAGGGCTGCTCGCGGGAGGATGCCATGCAAGTGCGGGTCGCACTGGAGCTCTAACAACGGCGTGTTTCCCCCTTAACCTTCCATGCGCATGCGGTTGCATATACCTCAACACTTTAAAAATGGTGTGGTATCCTGTCCTTCCTACGGCACACCTCTTCGCGCCAACCTACATACTTTCACAATCCCACTTCGTTTACGGAACAACGTCAATTTTTCGTTACCCGCAACTACAACCTGCATTTTTATACAATCTAACAGGAGGCGACACTCTTTAGCGTGAAGCAAGGGCAGATTAGGCGAGCGAATGAGGACGACATGAGCCTGGAAAATGGACCTGGTGCCGTGGTCTCAACGAATGTTAACAACCCACCAGTAACTCAAGACTCCACACCAGGAGCAACCTCGGTTGCGACAAACGATGATTCGACGGATTACGAAAGCCAGGGCAATTCAACACTCCCGATACACGTAATACTAGATGCAACGGATGGAACGTCGACGTATGATGGGGAGGATAATGGGAATATACATTCACTCCCAAAAACACCTGGTTACTCCGGAGACGCTACCCAAGATCTCGCAAATTTGAATACCGCCACTCTATCAGGTCTGAGCGCCGGCCTATCACACGCAAACGTATCGAAAATCTCCCTACAGGGAGCTGGCAGGAGTATCATCAGGGAATTAACAGTCGATGAAGAGTTGATGTCTCTTAAGGTTCGCTCGTTGTACAATTCAGGGATATCTCCGCTGGAAGCACAGAGTTCCTTCGGTTCGATACCTTCTGGGAGTATTCGGGCAGGGTTAGAACAAAACCGTCTCTCTGCCGTATCTAGTCGGTCGATTAGATTGCAAGCCGATCAGCTCAGTGTTCGAGACTCGATCGCGAACAGCTCTAGGAGCCTGAGCGGAGTTGACGGCCGGGCTGATTTCGAACTCGCGGGCGGTGTCGAAGATTGGGAGGACATTGATGCCGATGATATAGATCGGTGAGTTATTGTCTGGTATATTCCCCAACTTTTCGGGTTTGACTCGGGGGGCTGATTGGAGTGGCAGGTATGGGTTCATCATGCCTAAGCCCAGGGCGCCGGCATCTCAAGGTACAAAGGTCAATCCAACGAACAGGTCGAATCTTAAAAAGTCGGCACCCGGACCTGGCATCAAAACAAGTCTCCATAGACGGCGTATTCGGCCGGTTTTTACCCGTAGTCGCCATCTCAACGTTTTTATTTCTACATTTCAAAGCAAAAGTTCACCCGAAATGCTTACGAGCCCTATAGCCGGGTCTAGCGAAAGAATGAAAGTAAAAGAGGTCGAGCGAGTTGCCAAGTGGCATAGTATGGCTCTAAAACCAAGCGTCCTTCCAACGGGCGCTGTGGCAGGAGGGGGTACAAACTTCGATTTCCCCACTTCGAACCCTAAGGTATCTTCACTTCAACGCTGCGCCAGTCGTAATGTAATTACCGTGGAATGCGATTTGATAACTCTAAAATTGCTGCAGCTCGTCGATAGAACTTGGAAAGGGATACCCGATTGCTGGAGGTCTGCGGCTTGGTTTTCTTTTCTCGAAGCAAGCGCAAAGAAACAAGAAGGCTACAAGTCAACCAATGATCTAATTGGATGCTACCATGTCTGTAAGCTGGATAGAAAACAAAGGACCTTTTCTACAACAAGCTAATCATCTATAATCTAGGTCCTGTCGAGCCAGAATTCGCCTGATGATGTCCAGATAGACTTAGATGTACCACGAACGATCAGTTCTCACATCATGTTTCGGCGCAGGTACCGAGGGGGGTGGGTGCTGTCGAATCTTTGAGAGAGTAGCGATATTCTAACCAAAAGTCTCATGCAGGCAAAGATTGCTTTTCAGAGTCCTCCATGCGATATCCCTTTACTTTCCCGATGTAGGGTACGTACAAGGTATGGCCTCACTCGCAGCAACCTTCCTTTGTTACTATGATGAGGGTGCAGCTTTTGTTATGTTGGTACGATTATTCGAACTACGAGGACTGCATACTCTTTATAGTAACGGATTCGGGGGTTTGATGGATGCGTTAAATGATTTTGATACGGAATGGTTGCAGCCCGGCCATCCTTTGGTTAGTCGGAAACTGGTACGTGTGGCTGAAAGGAGCTGAGAGATATACCCTGTCTTTATTTTGTTCTCCATTTGCTCATTATAATATATAGGAAACGCTTGGGGTATCCGTTCTATCTTTTGGGACTCGATGGTACCTCACATTGTTTAACTATTCAATCCCCTTTGCGGCACAGTTACGTATCTGGGATGTGTTCTTGCTCCTTGGGGATGATGAGCTGGGCGGCACACTTGATGTGCTCCACGCAACATCCGCTGCACTAATAGAGGGAATGAAGGAGGTCGTTCTTGAATCGGATTTCGAAGGCGCGATGAAGAGCCTAACGAATTGGATAGCGATAAAGGATGAAGATATTCTGATGAAGAATGTAAAAGTCGAGTGGAAGAGGCGGAAAAGGCGGGGGTTGTTCCCAATGAAGATGTTGTCAGCCGCGAGCCGACCGACGACCGGGGTGAGCCGGTCTGGTTGAATCGGAGTTGAATTTGGAATCGAAGTTGATGATTGCATCCCAAATTTTCATCATTAGTATAGGCTTTATCATTTCTTTCCCATTTTTTTCATTACTTCCTTTTCTTTTATGCATATCTACCTCTTGTTTATAGGTATTCCCTCTTCTTCTTCTTCTTCTTCTTCTTCTTCTTCTTCTTCTTCTTCTTCTTCTTCTTCTTCTTCTTCTTCTTCTTCTTCTTCTTCTTCTTCTTCTTCTTCTTCTTCTTCTTCTTCTTCTTCTTCTTCTTCTTCTTCTTTTCGTTTGGCGCATCGTACATTAGGTGCATGAGTACCTGCTCGGTACTTCTTAGCTGGGTTCGCGTTTACTTGCCTTTTAAGCTTTTAATATTTTTGTTATAACATACCTTATATCTACATGATTTTCTCGAGTACTCGGGTATATACATACGTAGCTATAGTATATCTATGCATATGTACAGTAGGGAGGACCTGCAATGTTTGCCGGCAAATACTAGCCCCGAGCCCAGGCGCTTTTGAGGCAGAGCGTATGTATTTGTGGGTACTTGTACATGCGCCCCTGCTAGGGATGCTGCAAGTCAAGAAATGGCGTGGTGGGGCCGCAGGGGCAGGCCACCCAAGCCAAAGGCCCAAATCGGCTGTCAAAAATCGTCAAATCTTGCTGTGAATCTTGCCGTCTCGACCCGCCACAAGAAAGAGTGTCCCAAAACGGACAGGCCCGCCTTCCTGTTTGAAATTTCAGCAACCAGGATGGCGATTGAAAGGGAAATTTGTTCCCTCCTGGCATTGTCCTTGCCTCGATTCGTCGGGCCCCTTGATGTCTTCTTGATGTACCAGAACCTAGCTGGTAGGCTTGGGATGCCCACCTGCTTGAAGTTGAGCGAGTCTGTGTGGCTTTGCAAGATTCGATTCGATTCGATTTGATCGCAATTAACCTCTTCCTTTTCAATTCGATCCCTTTTACTAAGTAAGAGGTCAGTAAGGAAGTCAGTAGGTACGTACCTAACTTATGTACTTTAAGGACTCGTCTTTGATTCGAATCCTCCCACGGCCCAACATCGTCATCACCACCATCGCCATCATCACCATCATCACCATCCTCATCCCCTCTTAGGTACCATTCTTCACGAGTTGGTAAGCAAGTTCTTACTTTATCAATTACTCACCTAAGTACTTACTTAAAGTAGATATAGGTCGGTTGTTTCTTCCTGACTCAATCAGGTTTTCAGGTGTTTATCCAGACAATATCGCCCATCAACATCACCGACCTAACCAGCCGCCCGTACATACCTCTCATTTACTTACAGAGTACCCTGTCAGACCCTTCTTTTCTTCCTTCCTTCCTTCCTTCCTTCCTTCTTTCTTTCCCTCAACTATTTTACTTCGTTCTACTTCTTGATTTCTTTGTTGCTTTATTTATCCCCTTTGAATTCTAGTTTTTGGTTCATTTTTCGCCCAGAAAATTTTGTATCTCTCTTTACCAATCCCAGCAATAAAAAAGAAGGCAGTAACTAGTGTGCAAGTGCAAATAATCGCAGTATCACACCCAATTATTCTTCCTCTTCCCGAGACTTTCTTCTTCTTCTTCTTCTTCTTCTTCTTCTTCTTCTTCTTCTCCCCTCCTCCTCTCTTTTCCCTCCCCCTCTCTTTTCATCTTGTCTCCCCCCCCCCCTCCCCTTCTGGCGATTGCCGCTCCTTTGAAGCACCTTGATTTCGCCCTATCAGCCCATATCTTCTTCATCTGTGTGGCTCTCATCCTCGTCTCGACGCCCACCGCCATCGCCGCCTCACTTTTCACCACAAGTTCCACCATAACAAACTCGTGGCTGTGTTGGGTTGGCCATCATCATAAATATTCTTTCAGGCAGTAAGTCCTTCTTTTCTTCCACCCATTCTTCCATATTCCCTTTCTCCCTCACACACACACACGCGCGCGCCCACCTCCCAAATCTCTCCATACATGAACGGTCTTGAGGATAATATCTTTCAACAATTTCGATCAAGCCTTCCCACTTAAAATGCCCCGACAGTACCATTCCGAATACATGATAACCCAGGGTATAGCGGCAGGTACCCGGCTTCTGGCGACAAGTGGGACGATGTCTTTGTCTCGTTCCCCGGTGACTTTAACATTTGATTAAAGGCCCGTAATCCCCAGCAATACATATCCAGCAGTGGTCGTCGTTGCCAGTTATAGTGAGCCTTATTTAATCCCACTAAAATTGGTAGCTTCCAGCAAAATAGCACAATAGCCGTTTTCTTTGGCCTGGAAGATAGCTCTTGTTTTTATCTATCATTATTATAACCCCTTTGGTGTGCAAGGCACTCAAGGCCGCCAAATTGCATCTCCCATTAAGGTCAGTCGACTTCGTTGCGATGTCGACTTCACATAGAGGGTTGCCCCCTCCTGCAGCTATGGCGCTCTCTGGTCACTCACCTTCGTCAAATCTAAACCAACTCCCCGATCGATGGCAGCATGGCTCCGAGGAAACCCAACGAAGCTTTCTCCAGGCCAAGTCGGATGAAGAAAAGCGGCGGCAGGAGGAAGAGAGAACGAAGCAGGAAAACTATAGGCTCGAAATTCGTCGCACCGAGCTTGAAATGTTGCGGGAAGCTTTTCGGGGAGGGATACCTCCTCAGCTAGTGCCTATGATATTCACGGGAGGTGGTGGCGCATTAGCTAGCACAAGTGCAGAATGGGCAAATCATTATATATCACAGCTTAACCATAACCAACAACAATTACTTCAGGGCAATGTGGTTTCACCACCAGATTCTCGCCTGGAGTCTCGGCTTCTGACCGCTACCGAACACCAAACCCCGAAGTCCAGCGGCCTATCGTCAATATCTCAGACTCCTGCACAGTCTCAGGCAGCTTCCAACGTACCTCCGGGCGCGGCGCACAACCTACATCACGCCGGCTCCGGATCCAGCTCCTACTCTCCATTCGGCTCCTCCGGATTGGTAGCAACGCGAAACCATGCACAGCAGATCCATACATCGGAGCCACCAAGGTCGTCCTTACCTCGAATCAACACGAACGAGATTCATGTGCAACCACCACCACAAGGACCGCCTCCTGGTTTAAATATGCAGCTTTCAGGCATACCTCCGCCGTCCCAAACCCCAACACAAAACCTTATCGCCCATCAAACTCCACAGAGTCACATCTCACAAACTGGTCCATCGGAATCTCATAGGCAGCCGGAATCATCACCTATTTTTTTCCACCATTGGCAGCCTCCTACTACCCAACCCTCGACGTCTGCCCCAGCAACGTCAATCTCTCCAGCGTCGGGGAAGAATATTGAATCATCACCCTTCTCGAATCAGCCTTACGCTTCAGGTAATGAATCCTCGCATTCGCCTAAAAAGCGAAAGCTCGCGAGCGGTGGACATAGCATTCACTCCGCTGTTGTCACCGACTCAACGCCGAGCGTACAGGCTAACTCATTCTCCTATTTTTCTTCAGGCTCCTCTGGGAATGCAAATAAACGACGAGGCGTGAACCCGACTCACAATCGTCATCGGAGCGACTCTGGATCCGCTCGTGGGTATGAGCCATATCCTAAAAATCTTAATTCCCGGCCACGGAGATCAGATGCAGGTGGTGATGGGGTTGGGGTTACAGGCCATTTTTCAATTTCACATATGACAGGCCGTGAGTCGTCCCCCGAAATAGCTCGGCGAGAGTCAACGACAAAGCCACCAGGCGGTCCGCATCAAGAATCACCCCTTTTACATCAACAATACCAGGCTGGGCCTGATAGCAGACTCGAAAGTCACAGACGTAAGGAGAGAGAGGGCTCGGAGAGTCACGGTGGCCCTGCCGGCCGCAATTGATACCCATAATACCTCCATGAATATTATCTATCCCACATATATCCTTCACTGTATTTCCTAGGGACCTGATTTTTTTCGGATTTTGGCGTTAGCGCTTTTTATTTTACGGCTTTTCATCCACTGTATTTTTTCACCTGCTTTTTACTTACCCATCTTATCATACTCCGCATTGGTTAAAAGGTTTTTTGTTGTCTCGTAAACCGGATCTGGGGACCCACCGGACAGTTCCAGGTTCAACAGGCTGATTCAAATACATACATTTTCGTCCTTCATTCCAGCCAAAAAAAACATTTAATACTATAAACAATAAAGCAGCTCCCCAGGCTCGAAAAGAGCACGAAGAAAACTATTGTATGTTGCGGTAGTTCCAAAAGACCGGATTCAATGTTAGAGCTAGATCTCTTATTCTGAACTGCAGGAATGTCACCGAAGATTGCAATAAAAATATACCTAATGTTGTATACATAAACCTTCTCCGGTGTCATATACCCCATCATGCGAACCAGAATTGTTCTGTAAGCCGTGCCCTAAAACATGGCACCCGTCAAGCCGTCGTCCAAATGAATCCGATGAGGCGTGGGGCCCTTAGTCAGCAACTATATTCTCGAGATAGATCTGGGTTGTTTATAGAGACCCAAGTCATGCTGCCCATTCGAGTTTCCCATCAGCCCTCTAAGGTATCATGGTCAGCCTTAGGCCGGGTGGCGGACAGAATTGTGTCGAGAACTTTTGTAATCTGTTCTTCTGAGAGCCTCGATTCTAGCTCCTCGATGAGAACATCTAATTCGGTCTCATTTTTTGGTAGATGGTTCAAGATCATGAGCACTTCTATTTTCTCGAATTGGAGGGGAGATTTTGCTAGGTCTTCCACGAGCTTCGTAGTGGCTTCGGGAGTCTGAGCGATCGCAGCAGTTGTTGAGAGGTAATCAATAACCTGAACTACCTAGTTAACATTGCGCTTTGACGGCGGTCAGGCTTGAGAATACCTCTTTCATTACTGTTTCTAAATTCCCTGGCTTCATAGCCGCAGCTGGGCCCTGATCAGCAACTTGGTTGCGGTATCGTTGCTTAACCTCTTGGATATGTGCCAGGACTTCATAATTGCTGAGCATCGCCTCACAAGGCTCGAGGATCTATAGTGAGGAATAGATTTGTCAAAAAGGATACGCGCTGCAAGGTAGCTTCCATTCCGACTCACCTTCATCGTAGAAGTACTTTTGTTTTATCTAACACACACACACTATCTCTCTCTCTCTCTCTCTCTCTCTCTCTCTCTCTCTCTTTCTTTCTTTCTTTCTTTTTTGTATATAGTTTTTTAGGTATTTTTTTTCATTGTGTGACTTGGATGCGATGTTGTAGTTGAATTGAATGTCTGTTTATTGATGCTCATTCGGCTTGGCATGTTGGGAGAAAAAAAATCCAACATCAACTCGCAATAATGCAAATGCAAAGACTTCTTCCGCGAGCCACAATTGAGGGTGGTCAAGCTCATAAAATCACACACCCCTCCCGGTAGCATCAGTAACTTCGAACTGGAGCCGGCAGTAAGAGCCTTTTCTTTTCATGGCTACCACTTTGAACGACGATACGGCTACTTCGACTTCTACCATGGATTCGGCACCGACAATCTGCGACGCCTTACAATATGGCCCATTAAGACCTCCAGTGCAGTCACAAAAGAACGAGTTTACTGCGCAAGACTTGTCTCAGCTTCCACTATTCATGAGTTCTCTCGATGATGTACCTGAGGGGACCAATGATGCTATAGAAGCATTGAAAGCTCTGGCTTATGAGGGGGAACCTCACGAGATAGCGGAGAATTTTCGGCAGCAAGGTAACGAATCATACCGGTCTAAGTACTGGAGGGACGCGATTGAATTCTATACAAAAGCATTGGCTATAGGCTGTAATGTTGATGAGATCAACGGTGCCTGTTATTCGAATCGAGCTGCTTGTAACCTCGAGCTGCGTAAGTTTTAACCCTATGAAAGATTCTCGGTCGCCCGATAGTGAACCAGAAGGTTTATACGTCTCACTTAGGAAACTATCGAAAGACCAATTTAGATTGTGCTGAGGCTCTAAGATTAAATCCTCGGAATATTAAGGCGCTATATCGATCAGCACGGGCGTGTCTTGCCTTAGACAAGATTTCAGAAGCAGAGGATTGTGTGCAACGTGGCCTTGCCATCGATAAGAGTAACAGCTCCTTTAAAGCAATTGACGAGAAGATATCCAGCCGGAAGAGTGTCCTTGCAAGATTGCAACAGACTAGCCAAGAACGAGAGCGATTGTCAAAAATGAAAGAAGCTGCGCTGAAAAGAGCACTGGAAGTAAGGCCCCCAAGGATATCCCATAGACTATCCTACCTGACAAATTGTATGCGTAGGCACGCCATGTGATACAAAGAATAACCTCTGCGCGGCATCTTGATCTATCCGAAGATGCCACAGTGCAGCTTCAGGATCCACTGGATCCCCAGTCTGATTTGTGTTTCCCCGTGGTAGTTCTTTACCCGCTACATCTTCAATCCGATTTCATCAAGTCACTGTCAGAGAATGAGACTATTGGCTCCCAGCTTGAAGGCATTCTTTCACCATCGAATTTACCGGAGTGGGACAAGGAAAGTGAATACGCATATCCGGGTGTGGATGTGCTTGTCGAGAAGAAGAAATACGACATGCACGGGAGACCTAGTCTAAGCAAAATTGGACCGAAGACTTCATTAAGGAAAGTGCTCACTGAGGGAAAGTTGGAGTTAATAGATGGCATCCTGACTGTTTTAGTCGTGCCAAAGCCCCGATTAGCGGAATTTGTCAAAAGCTGGAAAGAAGATAATCCGAATTGATTCGGCTGAAGAAACTGTTGTCACAAACTATCGGTAGTAGCAAGTGAGATGTAGATCTTGAAGAAAGAAAAGGTCGTAATACACTTCCCGAATCGCCAAAAAAAGATTTACCGACAAAAACAAATTCCGGAGCAACGCCAAGAAACATAGAGATAAACAGAGCTGGCAAAGTCAGGCATAGCTTTGCTCTACTTGCCTACGAAACCTCGTGAATATTAAACATTGTACAACCGCTACATTTTGTTAAGGAAGAGATTTTTTTTTAGAAAAAAAAAGGTGAGTAGAGAATTCGGGCACTACGGCTTTTGATAGGTCCAGCCACCATTGTCGAGAATACGTTGGCGCTCAACTCTGTCAGCTTCGATTTCCGCAGTCGTTAGTCGATCGGCACCGGACCAATTTGCGGAGCTTGTTCGGGCTCTGAACTTTGCTCTATCACTCCTCCCTCTGAATATGTCTTCCATGGAAAGAGGTGCTATCGGGCCGAATATTGTTTCTGGATCTATTCCTAATTGATCCTGCAAAGCCTGGCGAAGCTCCGGTGAGTCGGCCCATTTGGGGACATGGAAGGACTTATCATCGTCGTCATCCTCGGAGCTAGTGTGAGTGTAAAGTTAGCTTCACTTCACTTTCGGATATAACTTTGGACGGGTCTTTACTCTGTGTGTATCTCTGGGAGATCTATGCTTTCTGGGTTAGGGTACACTGGCGATTCACGAGGAGCGGTAGAAAGTTTTCTTCCAATCTTTTGCGCGGAAGGTGTAACCATTGTCCCAAATTTGAGCTTATCATGGGAGTATTTGACAGCCTCGACTTGTGGCAAAGGCGTGGATTTAGCGAGTTGTATTGGTAATGCTGACTTTGCGAGGGTATGTGCCTGGCCCTGGCCTGCGGCTGTGTAATCTTGGCTAAATATACCTCCGATTTTCGAGGGCGGTAGGTTTTCTTTCTTAGCAGTCGACTGGCGAATAGGGGGTGCGAAGGTAGAGGGGGTCGGGTTTTCCCCTGCATCCTCCGTTTTTCTGCGTTTCGGGTCTTGCTGATTCGAATCTTTGGCATTGACCTCCTCCTTTTGTAATTTGTTCTCTTCTTCTGTCGGGAGGATTCGTTTGGGTTGACGCTTTAGCTCCGGTTGAGATTTGGAAGAACTGAGGCCGCTTTTGTGGGAGAAGGGCGTTGCTTTCGGGAGTAGTTTGGAGGGATGAAATATTCCCTGTGTACCCTTCCCCGCCGTCGGAATCCTCTTTTTCACATCTTCCTCATCGAAGGTCTGTGCATACCATTAGCAAAATGTGTCCGGTGTTTTGATGAAGGGCGAAATATACGTACCTTTGAGGGCTGTTTCTTTGCTGCCTTTGCAAGTAGCTGTTTCCTCTCCTCCTCACGGCGCACTTCCCGTTTCAAGTTCTCCTGTCTCTTACGCTCCATCTCCTGTCTCTGAGCAGCCTTCCGTTCCTTTTCTTCCTGTTCCTACAATTGGTTTTAGTATCTATTATCATTATTGTAGAAAATTGCAACAAGGTTTACCCTTTTCTGCGCCTTTGCTGCGGAGTTAAGTGCAGCTATTGATTTCGGGGCTTGGCGGCTGTGTGTAGAAGAGCTGGACATTGCGGAGAGGGGACGAGAATGCGGTTCTTTAGTAGGCCCGAACGTTTCGGCCAAAGCATTGACAAGAGCTGCCTGATTTGATAATGGATTGTGATTCCCATTCTTATTAGGGGAGTTAGCGCCAACTCCGATTTTTAGAAGAGTTCTAGATATGGGTACACTTACCCTCCTTAGTTCTGCTTCACGCTGTGAACCTGTAATAAGTCGATTGGAGGATAGAACCGCCTTTGGCTTAGCAATCCCGCTTTCTTTCACACCGAAAAGGGCGCGATTGGGCTTCCGAAGATCGTTAGTTTTTGATTGCAAGGAACGGCGATTGCGTGGTTCTCTCAGGCTCCCAGCTTGGGGTGATATGTCGCAATAAGCCGGGCTTTCCCTCGGGTTAGTGTTAGTAGGTAGGTCACCATTCTCATCCTCTACATCATCCTCTTCTGATGCAATAGCTTCAAAAAAAGGCGACCCGGGAAGCGAAGGGTCATTATCTGAGACAAGAGGTGATTTGATGATGTCATCAGCATTTTCTGGGATAAGGTTAATTCCTTCGGTAATGGCGGAGGAAGGCCCTTTCAGTTGGACTTCACGCTTGGGTACCCCTCCGTACTTGATCAAGCCGCCTTTCTGAAGCTTCGACGCCTTTTCGGGGGTTTGCCGCGCTTCGGATGGAGTTAAATCCTCATCTAAATCTAAGGAGGCGGAAGCTTGCATTTCAGGATAGAGTATCCCGTTTAGAGCCGTGTCCTCGTCCCTTGCTTCGTCCTCTCTTCCTTCGCTATTTAGATTCTGCGGTGCCTCTTTCGAAGGGGATGCGGGTTTAGGTGATCCCCAGAACAATTGCTTAGCAAAAGATATGAGGGTTGGTTGGTTCTTTTTGGCGACAGAGGCTTCGAGGTCATCCCGAGATTTCGAACTTGAAATCTCAGCTTCAGTGGCTGACAGTGGTGGCACTGGGAGAGTTGGGTATGTGACTTCGGTGTTTATATCTTTTTTGTTCATTGACACTGGTGCGTGTAATTTTGTTATCACCGGTGTCATAGTCACTTTCTTGTGTGACGGGTTGAGTGCCTTGCTAGGAGAAGGAGGAACTAGCCGTATTGGCGAAGATGATCCTAAGCTTGAATGCGTAGCTGCTGTCCTTAAAACACGTGGTAGTGACGGTATCCAATCTTCGTCGTCTGATTGCATAGATCCTCTTGGCCTCAGTGGCAATTCCGTATCTCCAGTGTCTCTAGCAACTTTGGCTAATTTAGAGCCGTCGAGGTCTTCAGTTTGGATTGTGGTCAGGAGAGACGAGGCGGATATTGATTTGGAGAGCCGGCTGGTACTTTGTTGGCTCAATTGCCTAATCTTCTCGTCAAGCCGTTGCGTAGGGTTCTTGTCAGAAAACTGCATTACTGAAGCTTTGTTCATCTCGGCGAGACGGAGCTGCTCATTAAGGTCCTCGTCCTCGTCTTCCTCGTCAGAGGTATGGTGATGGCCCGGTACTATGGAAATCGGGCCTGGAGTGCTCGGGGTGTCCGTGATCCCTATTTCACCAGCAATACTTGATGCACCTAAGCTTTTACCACCGGTAAGCCGGCCAAACAAACTTGCCCTGTCATCTACATGGCTGCTCCGCGGCCCAGTTGGATTTGAGCCCCCCATGCTCTTTTTGTAGGTCAAAGTCTCTCGAGCAGGCAACGATGCAAAGTTCATGCTGCTTCGGGCTACTCCAGTTGGCGACGCCGTTTCACTTGGTGTGTCGGAGCCGGCAGCCACATCCGTTATGAGAGGCTTCGGGGTCACAGGATTATCCATTTTTTGAATTGGTGATATGGGAGAAGACGGCGCAACTGGGTTGGACGCCTGCACGGGTGACACTGAAGCCTCCCTTTCAATAGCCCGCAGCACCCGCTCCTTGGGGGCTTGGGAACTTGAAGGTCCAACTGACGAATCGGCATGGAGATCTGTAGGAATCCTCGCCAAGGGACTCGGGAATCGGAGAAGATCATGATCTCCTTCTCCGGAGTTCTTCGAGCTGGCATCATGAGACGAGGTTTCAGAATAAGTAGGCTCGTCGATTGCATCAAGATCATTACTAGGGCAATCCTCTTCGGCAAGAGTCGATGAGTTGCGGCTTGCGCCGGAGCATGTTCTTCTCTCTGCAATTTCACCAGCGATATCTGGAGCATTTTGGTAGGATGGTACCTTTGCGGGAGAACTTCTTTCGATCGGTTCGTTGGAGACTAGACCGAAGGAGCCCGCCGCGGATGACCCACTATCCCTCATCAATTCTGGAGTTGAAACTGCACTGTCCGATTCGATATCAAATGATTCTTTAAGTTGCGGCGTCATCGGTCTTATTACTACATCATGACCTAGACAGATTGGCGAAGCTATCCTCGCGGGAGATGTGACGAGAATATTGTCATCCTATATCAATATTTGAGCGACGTGGCGTTGCATGGAGCTTACAGGAGTTGAATGTATCCTACCTTTTGCTCTTCGATAAGCACTGTTTTGGGTGGGTTCCGGGGGGTCTTCCCTCTGAGCTTTCCAGGAGTCTTGTATAACTCGGTTATGTCTCTATTAAAGAAGTTTAGCCATTTAGTACGTTGACCTGGATATAGAAGACGCCAAAATTGCGCGTGGGAGCACTACATTGTGGATCCTTGAGTAAACACATCCGCCATATGCTCTGTAAGCCATTCTAATTCGTTTCTGAATGCAATTGTAAAATCTTCAAAATGGTCCGCCTCTTTGCGATGCGCGTCTGCCAGCTCATTGAATATCCATTGTGGAGACCCCACTTCTGGTGGGTTTGGTCTAGAAGCCATTTTTTTTTGGGAGGGGAGGGTGGGCCTCGAGGTATTCGTAGAGTCGGATAGTTTCGTGTGCCTTACGGCTGGTTTGTAGCAACAATGGAATATAAATCTATAAGCAATATGAGTGTCTAGTATCAAGTAGATACAACAATAAGGCGACTGGAGTAAATGAGCTAATGTCGGAAACCGAAAATATGAGGCGGCGTCATTTCAAGCGGATTCGCTTCTCCCGGGGTCGGTAGCGGATAACAGAGAAAGATGGCGTGTAGTGGGGTATGATGGTGACGGTAGTCGTGGTCGTATGGTATAATGAGGCGAGTGAGGTTGGTGTTGAAGGTAACGTTTGTAGTTGGATTGGATTGTTTTTGTGGTCTGTTGTTATGATGAAGAAGATGAAGGAGCAACGCAGTGCGCGCCCAGATACTTTGGAATCGTCCAGATGATCCACGTGCAAATCTTTAGATACCTAGTGTTCTAGTATACCTCACGGTCGGGCAGGTAACGGTATGTAGCCCCAAACTTATGCAAGCTGGCTCATGCGATACAGGGTGTCTCCCGTGTCGCGGGCATCTACACGAATGCAATTGATTTAAATGCTGCTGCTTGTACGGGATACTTGTCGCCCTGTTGGTTGGGTAAACAAACAAGTCTGGGAAAACGCGTGGTTTGCCAAGCGTATTTCTAAATCTAATCTGATTAGATCTTATATCCGGTCTCGTCCTACGGCCGCGATGTAACAAGCTCCGCGTAACGTTCTTAGCTCAGTATTATGTATATATCCCTTCCGATCTCATCCACCTACCAAGTACATCATGGCGAATGACCGTTTCAAGTACAAGTTGGAAATCCAACAGATGATGTTCGTTAGCGGTGAAACCGGAGAACCTTCGCCTGAAACCACCGGTATCATCGAAGACATCGTTCGCGGACAAGTTATCGAAATGGTATGTCCTATCTGTCCTGGCAGCGATGTGTCCCTTCGCTCTTCTAACACTGGACCCGATAGTTAATACAAGCTACTGCCCAAGCCGCTAGGCGAGGCTCTCGTTCTATATCAACTGATGATCTGATATTTCTTATCCGCCACGACAAAGCTAAGGTATCTAGGCTACGAACCTACCTCTCCTGGAAAGAAGTTCGAAAGACCGCAAAGGATCAAGATAGGGACGTGGATACTGCCGACCTTGTGGAGGACTCTGCTGCTGGCGATGCGCTCAAAATGCGACAGAAGCGGGCCAAGATTTCCTTGCCGTGGGAGGTTGCCTCCTACTTCAGCGAGCAACCCCCCGAAGGCGATGACGAAGATGACGAAGAGGAAGCTGAGGCCAATGTTGCCACCCTTGCTAGGTTAAAAAGCGCTGATGAACGGACAAAAAGCATGACTAAAGATGAATATGTTCACTTCTCTGAGTGCAGACAAGCCAGCTTTACTTTCAGAAAGTCGAAGCGATTTAGAGAGTGGGCTGGGTTCGGCATGGTTACGGATGCAAAACCTAACGACGACATTGTTGACATCCTTGGCTTTTTAACCTTCGAGATAGTACAGGTGCTCACTGAGGAGGCACTAAGAATAAAGGATGCAGAAGATAAGCTTCAAACTTCGAATAAAGAGAACGATAAAAAAAGAAAGAGAGATCGGTTTCTATTCGACGGGCCCGGTGAAGGTAGGACTCCTGTGGAGCCTCGTCATATCGAGGAAGCTTTCCGGCGACTACAGCGGCCTCGAGCAAAATCCAAAGCTATGCGTAATTTTGAAGGCGGCGGGGTTATGAAGACCCGTGTGGGACTTATGTAATATTTCTATTTCTTATCTTCTGTTTTGTTTGGCGTTTAAGGATCTTTATGGGGGCGCTTCACGACCGAAGCAGCGCCACTACATAACCGCTTACTGGTCGGAGTTCATCAGAGCTGGTGGCGTTTGGGGCGACGTGACTTGAGAAGCCCATGATATGACCCATAATAACCACCTTTCGGTTGTAAAATTTGCGAATACCCCTTTGGCTAGCTGGGTACTATGATGTATGTTTTCAAGAGTGCATCGATATTGGATATGTTCCAGATCTTCAATTCACTATCGAGTTTTTGTACTTGTAAATCCTCCAAACCCCATCATTCGTGCCATCATTGCCGCATCAACATCAACCCCACTAGTCTGCTCAGAAGTTTCAGTAGCTGTCAGCACCTTCTTCTGTCTCGTTTCTTCCTTTTTAATCCTTTTACGCTCCTTCTTTTCTAGCCGTTCCTGTTCCTCAATCGTTTTACGTTCCGCAAGTCGTTTGGCCAAATCGAATTCCTCCGCCTTATCCTGCTCGTGTTTCCTTTGTTTCAACCAAATTAACCTCTCCCGCACCATTTCCAATGTCGCTCGCTCTACAACGTCCGTCTGACCAGTCGCATTCAGATGCTGCTTGCTGTTCAAATGTTCGACGTACTCCAAACTGTTGGTAAAGTTTAGATCGCAAGCCTCACAGTAGTATCCCGGCCCCTTCCCCCTTCTGCTACCGGTAGTTCCTAGAGGAACGATCTGGACCTTGTTGAGGTTTTCGTCCAGCCGGATACGGCCTCTCCTCGCTTCAATCATCCTCGAATCATCGAATCTTGTCTCCTCAGCGTTGGCGTCCACCTCGGATTTAGGTATGTACTTCTTTCCCGCCAGCTTGGCTTCATATCGTTCCTTGCGCTCTTTAGCCTCTCGACTTTGGCGTTCCGCAGCCTTTTGTGCGTATTCTTCGCGATCCCAGGTGCGGCGAAAGGATGTGTCACCGGTCGCGGCATTGTCGTATACGCCTTTGGGTTTCGACATTATGATCAAAATTTCCGAAGGAACTAGTTACATGTGTGCCTTAACTCTAGATATCGGGCAAGGCTGCGTGGCTGCAAATCAGCGGGATTTGGGCCTGGACACTTACAGTATGGTCGGGTGTACGTGTGGTTAGATGCTTCACCGCGATACTTAAAAGCTCATTGCCAACCATCGGAAGAATCCAACAATCAAACAACACATCCTCAAGCGCACATTTTCTCAGGGTCCAGGTACCGAAGAGTATTTTAAGTCATGCCCTAGTACATCAATTTGTGATTTGTAACTTACCTAGATACCTCTTAAGTACCCATAAAAAATATGGAAAAAAAGTTCGTGAAGCTAAGGACCTAGGTGATATGCGCTTATACTAAGATGAGTGAGCAGCCATGGGAAGCGAGTGCTGAAAAATATAAATATCCAGTTGCAAAACAGAAGGAATTATCATACAGAAGTCTACCTAACTTACTTTATCAAGCAAGTAGTTAAATGCGTCGGATCACCTATCATACAAGATGTTCATTTGTTCCCTCAAAACAGGCCCCTCACAAACCTCACCGCAGAGATAAAAACGATATAGCGCCGAACAAACAAAGAACACCTCAACAAAACCGTCACAGCCACAGTACAATAGATGCTGTAAAGGGGGCTATCAGCACATGCACAGGAAATGCCGGGACTAAGAAAGTTCACGCTTCCTCTGAAGGCTTTCTCTTCTTCCTTTCGTGTTTATCCTTCTTGTCTTTTTTCTTCTCCTTCTTCTCCTTCTTCTCCCTGGCTGCGGTGGCTTCCTCTTCAGCGCCCTCCTGGTCGACGGGCTCACCGTCGGCAGTTTCTAACTTCCTCTTCTTTTCTTTCTTCTCCTTTTTCCTATCCTCCTTGCTCTTCTTTTTCTTCTCTTTCTTATCACTATCTTCATCGCCAAAAGCAACATCTTCCATAGCTTCCCCGGTTTCTAAATCGGCGACAGCCGCTTTAGCTAGATCTGCAGCCGCAGGTGCATCTTCCATAACCTCATCAGCATCAGGGTTGTACTTCTTCGCTTCTTGGATGGACCACTTCCCAGGCTGAACGCCATTCGACGGCAACTTTGGGAGGGTTGGTTTTCCTTCAAGGTACCTAACACGGTTTTCAACTTTCTGTCGCATATAGATACCTAGTGCTGAAGATTCTTCCTTATCTTCTGCAAGCGCATCATATCTGATACCTAGCGATGTCTTCGTCGCAAGCATGCGGGCAATCTTGCCCTTGTTTTTCCCAGTTGACTGCCCGATTAATGACGCCTGGTAAATCAAGCCGTATTTAGGTGTGTCGTGTTTTGTTTTGAGAGCTCTGAACAGTGCCTTCTCTGCACCAAGAATCTGAATTGTCGAGGCAGGTGACTTGGCAAGATTCATTAAGGATCCGGCATGAGCTATCAGCCTTGCTCCCACTAACTCCCCCACTAATGCCGTAAGGTTCGGTGCAATTGCTTGCATACGATTGGATAAGTAGGTAGCTAGTTCTGTTCGATACTCGCTGAAGCCGATAACTTCTTCTGCAAGGCTGTTAATATTGTCCAAATCCTCTTTCGTGATCTCAGTACCCATAGAAATTTCAGCCGCAGCCTTCAAAGCATTCTCTATTTCTTCAGGGAGAACAGTAGAAAGGTCCGAAGTCGATGCGTTAGACCTGACTCCCATTATCTTGATGACCCTAGCGTACGCCATATTGTCGTTGATGATTTTCGCCATTTCCGGGAAGTGCCAGCCATACCATTCTTTCAAACGCATAGCGTACGTATTAAGCTGCTTGTCCAGATCATCAAGTAATGCGATCGCCTGGACAATCATTGTATCTACTTTGTCGGGGGAAAACTTTAATTTATGACGCGACAGAGAGTGGGAAAGACCAAGTGACATAGTGTTCAAGTCAGACGGTAGAAGGCCTGGTATCAAAGAAGTGAGATGCTCCCGAATGGATCTGTAAAGGTCCTGCGTGGTTGAATCCGAGACGATATTGAGAGACAGGCCGGGTATTTTATTGATGGCGTTTCCTAACAATGGCGAGTGAGCAAAATCTCTTGTAGTAAGAACAATAGATGGTAACATACCAAGTTTTACATCAGCAACAGCCAAGGATGCCTTCTTTTCGTCCTTAAGGGAATCAAGCATTCCAGCCAACATTGGAGAAACCTTCCCTTCAATCAACGATGTGACTTCTTCAAGAGCTGTGGCAGCACTGTCAAACTTGGAGAACTGCTTGAGCTTGAGCTGCCCGCAGATGCCATCCGAAGTGCTAATCTCTTTAGCAAGATCATCGCGCTTCAGTAGTTTTTTGTCCTTAGCCTTAAAGAGAGCGTAACCAGCTGATGTTTCTGTTAGGATGAGAAACGACATATTTGCGACAACAAATAAGAGCCGTAGTAGGTAGCTAAAAAGGTTCCCCTTCTAGATGTATGATGGTAAGGGCGATAATTCCAATGTATCAAAGAAAGAGTTGAATGGGAGAGGACAGATGCGTCGCTTCAATTGGATGCGCCGTGTTCTGGCTTTTACATCCGCGATAGAAACGAAGTATCCTTTTTGTCAAAAGAACCGGTCAAGAAACCGATGGTTGCTGTTACCGGCTGGTTTTAGGAATCCACGGTGAAACTCTTGTTCGTGGGAAAGTTTTTGTGGTCGTCGATGCTGGGGAAGGGCAGGAAGAGAAAAAAAAATAGAAGCGAGTTAAAAAAAAAAAAGAAAGAAAAAGAAAAGGAAGCCCAGAACGGATAGTCACTGTGGCTGACGGGCTGCCTGTGGCAGTGTCTGTGGCGTGCTCTAAGAGATTTCGTTCTGGGATTAAAACCACACCACTGCACACAACTTCAATCTTCAATGCACATGCATATGCATATACACCTTTAACTTTAACAATGCAACCACTCGTTTGCAATCTATCTTCATCATTGGCTAGTTTGCAAATATCTACGGCCGTGAGAGCCGTATCCCGCTTGCCAACCAAACGACTTACCAGCCCTCTGCTCTCCCTGCACTATTCGCAAAATCTTAGTAAACGACCGTTTCAAATTGCATCCTTACACACATCCTCACCTCTCAATGCTGGACGCAAAAGGAAGCCTCCTAGCAATCCATGGGCTATAGCCAAAGCAGCTGAAAAGCGGGGGAAAGTTACGGCGAGGAAAGAGGAGTTACGGAAGATTCGACAGGACGCAGCGTCTGATCCTGTTGTAGGACATACGACTCCCTTTCTTGAAGCAATGGACTCGAGCCCTGCTATGTTACCACCAATAGATCATCTCGTCCCAGCTACCGATGCGCATGAAAGACAAGAAGCCTTCGAGAAGGCCATATTCGAAGAACGACTTGGCCGTTTAAACCATTACCTGCAACCGGACGAAGTTAAGATTTCTCTTGCAAGATCCAAAGCGTTGGAAGACCCACCCCTTTACGCTGTAACGGAAAAATCTGTCTTACAAGGAAAAGAAATGCATCTGAAGGCAACAGCTGCCATGAACCGCATTCTCTCTCTCAGCAATGGCTCCTCCAAAGACAAAACAAGAGCAAACAAAACTTGGTGTGTCGAAACGTTTGGCCGTCACATCACAGATGAGAAATTTCCTCAACCGAAACACCCGTCGATAGCATCGAACCCCGGAACCGATCCTATTAAAACTCCACGCGTTGGTCGTGATACTGGTAGCAGTGAAGTCCAAGCCGCATTACTAACAATGAAGATCAGAACCCTGGCCCAACAACTTGAAACCAACACACATGATAAAATGAATAAGCGGAATTTACGTGTGATGGTGCACAAGCGGCAGAAGCTGCTGAAATACCTTAAACGCAAGGAACGGGGAGGCCAGCGGTATCAGTATGTAATGGAAAGTCTCGGCCTTGATGATGCTGCCATCATGAAGGAAGTTTTTATTTGAGTGCAACTTCGCTAGTCACGCTATTTTTGTATATAATAAGAACCTACCTTAGTGTTTAGGTAGGTAAGTAAGTAAGTAGGTACATATACATATACATACTTAAGTCCCTGGTACCCATTTTGTTTGAAGACATAATTACTTACTTAGGCACGCAAGTACGTACCTGGGCATATATATAATTCTAGATCCCCACTCGCCTTCCTTCCGCTGGAAAATTTTTAAAAATAAACTACTCAGCACATATGTAAATTTATAAATAAATAAAAACCCCTCGAGCATGCGTAAACTAAGTTGCCCTAGCGGGTTGGCTCCTGAGCTGGCCAAAGCTCTGGGCCATGTACATGTGCATACCTTCTCAACACATTGATTTCAATTTAGCACGAACTCAACGGCGATCATATCGAAAGACCCAAAAGCCTCCCACACCGAAGCAAACTCACCAAATGGTTCTAAGATCAGCACGCTACGGGCACTGGTGCCGATTAATAACTTGCAAACCTCGAAGCCACCGGCTTCCGATTACAAGAAAGCACGAGGTTTGTATGCAACGGCTTCCCCAAATTAGTATCCGCACCTTCAGTTCTTCGACCAGTCCGATACCACCTTCATTTGCGCCAAAGCCCATTGTTGCGACGAAACCAATCCGCGAGAATCCTGGTTTCTACTCCCAGAATTGTTTAAACAGGAACCTGCCACTAGAGTCAACCTATCCTATACGTATTAAAAAGCTTTCCGATATTCTTTTTGAACTACGCAGTTCCCTCAACTTGATGCGAGGGAAGCAGAATGTACTGGGTGCAAAAATAAAAGCTGCTGCGCTTCGAAGAAATGAGGAACCCGAGGAATGGAAGGACCTTCAGGCACAAGCCAAGGTGCTGAAGCGACAGATATCTACTCAAGAGGCCGTAGAGCAACAGCTTGAGGATGAAATGAACATGCTTGCGGCGCAATTACCAAATCTAACACACCCAGATACTCCAATACAGGGAAAACTGAATGTGGTTGAATACATAAACAAGGGCAAACTTCCGGCGAACTCGCAAACCCTTCCGAAAACCACTGAAAAACAAATTCCGGAGCTTCTATACCGCGGAGCCCCAGGTATTTCTCACGTGGAAATAGGTACCGAGCTTGGGATACTTGATTTCTCTTCCTCGAGCAAGACGTCTGGTTGGGGTTGGTATTTCCTTCATGGGGATGCTGTATTGTTGGAGCAAGCGTTGATCCAGTACTCTCTGGCTTGTGCGAGAAGCAAAGGATGGAACCTAGTAAGCCCGCCGTCAATAGTATATACCCATATCGCGGGGGCGTGCGGGTTTAAACCCCGAGATAACAACAATGAACAACAAATATATCACATCAGCCAAGGTTCCGCCTTCGAAGGTTCGCAAGACTCATCCCGGCCCGAGCTTTGCCTGGCAGGCACAGCGGAAATACCATTGGCTGGCATGTTCGCAAATACCGCGCTCCCGAAAGCGAAATTTCCCAAAAAGATGGTAGGAGTATCACGATGTTACCGAGCGGAAGCAGGGTCACACGGCTTAGCTACCAAAGGATTGTATCGCGTTCATGAATTTACCAAGGTTGAGTTGTTTGCATGGACATTACCCGACCCGGATTTGTCGGACCAAACGTTCAACGAGATATTAGACCTCCAAAGAGATATAATTACGAGCTTGGAAATACCAGCTCGTGTCATTTCCATGCCCTCAGACGACCTTGGGGCTCCCGCATATAGGAAATATGATATCGAAGCGTTTATGCCCAGTCGGAAGGGAGAAAAATATGGGGGTTGGGGCGAGGTTACAAGCGTCAGCGAGTGTACGGATTATCAAGCTCGAAGGTTGAACGCTAGATGCAAGTATCCTGATGGTAAGTTGGGTTTTCTTTGGAGTTTGAATGGTACAGCCCTCGCAGTTCCAAGGATAATTACAGCGATTCTGGAAAACAATTGGGATGGTGCCAAGCGAGAAGTTCGTATTCCTGAAGTTCTTCGACCATATATGGGTGGCCTCGAGCTCATTAAGAACTCGGAAAGTGCACCCTAGTGACAAAATTTATACAATCAACTTTGGGATAGGCTTTCATTTAAACTATCCGGATCTCTTCATGTATATACTCAAATTTGTACTGTAAAAGGACATTGATTTCCTAATGCTGAAAAATCATACATTAATCTAGCCTAAACTGCTTGCGATTGTCCTCGAAGCTCCAACAGGGTTTACGCTTCTAGTCATACTTGAATAGAACGCTGATACTCTCACCGTGATGAACTCGGCGGATTGCCTACGCGGGTATTATTAGTTTCTGGTCTTGAGCCGCGCGTTTTAGTCCGCACATACCTCAGAAAAAACACTTGATACATCAAGCACTTTCAATTTCGGACACGCCCGAGCGTTCTCATTTTGGGGGACTGAATTAGTGACGACTACTTGATCGATCGCACTAGCATTAATACGAGCGATGGCGTCACCGGAGAATATACCATGCGTTAACAGAGCGTACACCTTAGTAGCCCCCCCCCTTTCTTTAAGAAGCTTTGCAGCCCTTGTGATGGTGTTACTAGTATCAGCTAAGTCATCAACCAGAATTGCGACGCGTCCAGATATGTCACCGACTAGCATCATTGTTGCATTTTGGCGGTCTGTGATTTTAGTAGGCCGCCTCTCCTATGGGATCGTTAGCTGTATGGCCTTGGAATTGGTCTAAACGGGGAATACCTTGTGAATCAAAGCGAAATCCATACCAAGTGCATCAGCAATAGCTGTTGCACGTTTTGCACCACCAGCATCAGGGCTGACGATTACTGCAGACTGGTAATCAGGGATCTTTGTTTGTATGTACCTCTGCAACAAAGGTCGCCCATATAAATTATCAACAGGGATGTCAAAGAACCCTTGATACTGAGGATCATGGAGGTCCATGGTGATGATGTGATCTGCACCAGCACAGGTCAACAAATCCGCTATCAATGTTCCAGCCTGCGCAACCCATTGTTTGTAGCCTGGTTGTCTGTGCTGATCCCAGTCGCCCCCGGTCCCGTTGGCGTAGACGACCTTTTGCGAATCCCGCTTAGTAGACCCAACTATCTCGCTACCAGTGTGCTGGCGGCGTAGGAAAGATGGTCTCGAGGTCAAACTGGGTGACCCGGGCGCTGTGACGGGGCCTCTTTCTTTATCTAACGAGAGACGGCTCAGTTTGTGTTCTAATTGGCCTGCTGGGGGGCCACTGGAACCCGCACCATCTGGCTGAGGTGCGGGAGTTCCGGGACGACTTTCGAATGTGTAACTGTCCTTTTGGATACCGGCTTTGGCTAATGGGGCACCAACTTTGTTGTATGGGATATCGGGTTGACGACTGTATGGAAATAAAGGCATCACAGCGGTGACTCTTTTCGCGGATGCTGTTTTACAAGCTGAAATTGTGATGAGGAGTTCAATGAAATTGTCGTTGACTTTTCCGCAACCGGATTGTATAACGTAGACGTCTTTTCCTCTGACGGAGTCCTGGATCTCAACCCGGGTTTCTCCAACAGAAAACTTGGATAGGGTGATCCTGCCAGGAGGGATGCCCAGTTTGATGCACATCTGCTCGACGAGCTCGGGATGCGATGACCCGCCTAGGACGACAATATTGCGAACCATAATTGAATTATTGCGGGGAGCGTATCCTTAAGTGAGGTTGGAATGTCGGGGTCGGAGAAACGAAGGAATATGATGTTCGAACGCGCTAAGCTTTGTTAGTGTGAGAGAAAACGGAAAATATCTATTGCGAAAATGGCATTGCCTTCTCTGCGCTTACATAGTGAGCGAGCAATTTTCCCTCGTTGCTATGAATAGGGGGTTGGCCAGTGCTGATGCCGGTGCTTATGCCGGATGCCTTGGATCGCTACATGTGTGTAGAATAGGCGGTGCTGCGAGGCGGCGATGTCGTTTCAAGCTCGGTTAAAAAAAAAAAAGTCCGCAGGCAAACAAGAAGGTAACATAAAGGGAAAAAAAAAAAAAAAAAGGGTAACTCAGTGCCACGATAGAGGCATCGGAAAAGGGAAAAGAAGGAATGGTAAGTTCCTATGGTTTTCATTGAGGCTCAAACCTCAACATACACCCTCTCCCAGCTTGGTATCGATATACATGGTATACAGGGTGCTTTACACATGCCCTTCCAATTACCTATGTTGACAATCCTTAATGTAGCTAATCCAAGAGCTCTTCACCCGTAGCCACTCTTGAAGGCACTCAATACCGTATGAACACGCAGAACACGTTGGTGGACGAGGGCTCAGATATGCAGACTATATTGAACAGGGTATCTATGCTAAGCACAAAAATGCAACCGTACCTGCCCGGATAAACAAGTGAATAAAAAAATTAAACAAAATTTAAAATAAACAAAAAAAAAAAAAAAGAAAGAGAGAGAGAGAGAGAGAGAGAGAGAGAGAGAGAGAGAGAGAGAGAG